AGAAAAAATTTGCAACCATTTTTTAGAAAATCTTGTTTTCTAATTTTTTTTAATTGTACATATTTTTCGCAATATTGCGCGAAAACTACTAAAATTTTCAAAAAATGCAATGATCTTATTGAAAAAACCGATTACGAACAACAAATTTAATTTGAAGGAAAAATCTTAATCTTCAATTTTGTAGTTGTAGGATTACGCCGAAAGTAATTCAAACTTTTGCAATTTTCGAAAATTCAGAGTTAACCGTGAAAAGCGAACCTAGGCCACATTTATAAGTGTATTTTCCTCTATACGTACAAGAATTTTAAAGAAAAATGTAGGAGCTGTGTTTGAGAAAATTTTCAAAATGTCTGTAGGTTCATGTAAGTACCCCCAAAAATTGATGAATGTTTTTCAAAATCGCAAAGTTTCGACTCAGGCCAGAGTGACAGGGGTTTATTCAGTGTCAGTGGTATTGGTCACACACACACACACACCAGACAGACGGACAGACGAACAGACGGACGGACGGACAGACGGACGTTTTGAAAAAACAACTTTTTCGGTATCAAGGGTCCCCAAAACGTGTATTTCCGTTGAAATCTCGAAATCGATTTTCCGCAGCATTACATAAATTTCCATACACTACTTGTATGACTCCCTATATAAGTATGTATACGGGAAAGTTAAAAAGTTTCGGTGAGTCATGTATTCCACCTAGTTTTTATTTTTCGTTCATTCTCAGTATCTTAAATGGAAATAATAACCCCGTTTTTCATGGTTTGTAAATTTATTTTTAAATTGAAGTTTTGAGAAAAGAATGTATTGGAATCCGTAGGACATAAAATATTATTTTTACGTGTAACTTCGGACATAAGTGACCAAGTCTCTGGAATTACCAGCATAACGAGCCTTGCTAGTATATCTCATCAAATATCAAGAACCCTCAAAATTGGGATTCTGATTGCACACCGTGATGGAAAATGAAAAAGAAGCAGGAGTTATGCACTTTTTTATGTCAGTGACCCACAACACGTGTTTTCTAACAAAAAAGTGCCATTTTCCGTTGCAACATTATAATAATTTTATGTATCTATGTAAGTACTTAGTAAATGAAATAATCTCAAGCACGAAGAACAGAAGCTTCTTTGAAGAATTTAGTTAAAACTAAGAGAGAAGAAGAATATTTCCTTCCCTATGATACTAAATGAAACCAATTAACTACTAAAATGTGACTCTTCAAGTTCTAAAACGAATTTGAGATTACGGTTCCACCTTTGCTGCGGGGATCATACTGACACTTCTGTGGATTTTGTTGAGGTCGTGAATGACACGACGCAAAGCTAGGGCTTTCGCGGGTTCGAGTCCCGCCTCGGGCATGGTTGTGTTGTGTTCGTCCTTTCACCCCCTATCATCATCATTATCGTGTCAACCCACAGCTACCATACCGTTACAAGCAATAGTGGTAGCTAATGACCTAGAAGTTGATGGACCATAAATAACAAAAAAAGCTAGGGCTTCTGGAATCTACGTGGTTGTTGTAGAAACCTGCGTGCCGACCAGCCTACCGTGCGTGTCACGGCCTACCAATATCGGACTGTGGCCTCCCTCTGCGTTTCCAAAAGTGTAATAAAATATCCGAAATATCTTTGTCGATTACGGTCGAAGAAACATAACTCGTTAAGAATATAAAAACGACGTTTTAAGAGACTACAACGCATCGTTTCTGCGTTATGTACAATAGTCAACATTGCTTAGTGAGTGACAAGTGATTTTGGTTGCATGTGGCTGCTGTTTTCCTTACATCATAAATTACAAAATTCGTTGTAGCCCTAAAATCAGTTTTATGTTCCCCTAGGGTGCGCAATTCCTTATCCTACAGTAGCTATGTTTTATATCAATGGTGATACAAAACCGTTATCTTCCTTTGTCGTAAGTTTAGGGGATAAACACCAAATATGCAAATACTGGTCGATTCAATTTACTCGTAGTCGTATCATATTGTTTTAACCATCGCCTTAGTTATCCTATTCCAATGCAGTGTTTAATTTTCAATTTGACAGCAAAACTTCGAATGAGTGACATTGTCTCATAGGATTTCCATTATCTCATTTTTAATCACTCATATACCAGTTTCCATTAGAGTTTAATTAAATTCGCCAAACTACCTACGCATATATTAAAAGTATGTTCACATCCATTTCGAACGAATGCTATAAAAGTGTTCTTGTGTCCGTACGAGCCATTGTGAGGTGGATGTGTGCTTCTTGAGAGTGAATGTAACAGTTCGTTCTCTCCAAATGTCACTTGCGTGAACTTTTTATCTACATAATAATATATTATATCTATAATAATATATTATATCTATTATATCAATAATGATTTGCCATCATTTCTCAGCAACAAAAAATCTTCATTTCTTGGTTGGTAGACAATTGATTACCAAGAGAATCTCTTTAAAAAATGCTCCCTCTTTACGAGGCTATTCATTTATGTAATTACTAGCGGATCCCGGCTGAAAATATCTCTCTCCCACTCCCTCCCTCTCCCTATATATATAGTTCTAACAGTGAGCCTAGCCACAGCATCAGTGGCAGGTTGTTGTTTCTCATCCGCGTGGGAGAAGTGCACAAGTCAAAATAATAATAATAATAATAATAATAATAATAATAATAATAATAATAATAGAAGGGACAAATTATTCGAGCAGTATTATTTTATGCAGAATTATTATGAAAATCATTACAATTTTCATACTTCAATAAACATCACGCCAGTAGGACAAAGGTAACTTTCAACTTATACAAAAGAAAGTTATGAAATTAGAGTATATAAAATACCAAGAAATACGAGATAGTATTACGTATTATTTTACAAAATACGTTATAATGAAGTGAACATAATACATTTAGAGTAAGAACATGTTTGACGCAGAAGAATGTCTTTTCTGAGAAGAGGGAAACAATGTACTCGAAAGTACGAGCCACGAATTTAAGTTCTCGATATTTGTTCACATGCTTTACAGATAACTCACATGTGCTCAGCTAATGAACTCACAGCAAAAACTCCTTTATTTATGCTGGTTTAATGTTCAATTTTGAAAACAACGATACAATTACGAGTGTTGATTGACCTTATCTTTACCATTTATGATTTGTTTTTGTCTTTTTCTCGTCTTTGAAAGAAGCTTTCAATATTGATTATTGCCTTAGCTATTCAAGCAACCTGTAATTGCATTTGGAACGTTATCGCTATTAAAGTCTTCAATAATAATATTAGTAGTAGTAATCGTGTACAAAAACAATATTTAGGTCTGTAGCAAGGAACCTAACAAACAACGAATTAAACAAGCCCGAGATTAATAAAACACAAATTAAAGAATTCTGCTGCTTTTAAAATTGCTAAGCAGATATTAAAATGGGTAGAACGGACGTTTAGTTTTAGATTTTAATAGTTCTATTGAATCATTGAATTCATGACTTGTTACACAAATGCATCTTCCCGATTAATTCAGAACATAGTTTATATCAAATCTTATTTTGTTACACTGATATTAAAATTTCAATTTTCTTAATTACCATGCTTATACGATATTATTTAAAATTATTTCTTGCGTGGGAATGTCTTCTCATCTTCTTTTTTACAAAATCTTTATCCCATTATCTGTTTATATGCATTTGGCGTATTCTAATAGAGTCAGTAATCTACGGGTAATCATTACGAGAAATTGATGAATTCATTGTCATTCATTTAACCCTGCTGCTGGTCTATACGGCCCAAATAGCCAAATGTTCCTTATTTGCTATTATATCGTAAGCGTCACATTTTAAAACCATATTTAATTTTAATTTCCGACTCTGAAGTGAAATATAATTAAAGTTTTATATTTTTAAAACATCCGGATGTTTTTCCTGACTGTCAAACATTTTCACAGCTTGTAAATCGCTCTTTCACCCCAACAAAATCAAAATTCTCTAAAACCCATACATGTTCAACCATGAATTCTGGAAGCACTTAAAAAGATAATCCATAATCGCACCGTTTCCACTATCATCACTATTGAAATTCTAAAGGATAACCTCAAAAGATATAATGAAACACAATCTAAAACAATGGTTCGAATTAAAGAACTAATTCATATTCTTCTTCACAAACTTCAAGGCTTATCAGTAATTTTTCTTCTTTTACCTAATCAGCTGCATCCAATTATATGACTAAAAGATATAATAATGAAACTAATACAAAGGTAGTAATTGATTTACAAGGAAACAATGTAAGACCTAACCCTGGATATTCCAAGCAACATGTCATAAGATTCATTCATAGGAAGATGATTCAGCAATGGGAACCGATATGGCGATGCCATAAAACTAGTAATACCCACAAATCAATCGATTTATTCCTCGGAACCCACGATGACTAGACGCGAACAAGTTGTAATTACACGAATTCGAACTGGTCATTCTAAAATTACACACACGTCCTTGCTGGAGAATATCTCACCACCACCACTACGTGATATGTGTCAAGTAAGACTATTAGTCGAACATATTATTATGTCTTGTCCCAAATATAAACACATTAGATCAATGTATTTTAATCGAAATGAAACAGAGAAAATACGGTACTCTGTCCCCTTTGATATATAACCCTCGAAAAGATATGTTATGACCCTGTCCGGATGATACTGTATGATGATGTTATGTAAAATAAATAATACATGATTCTGTATTGTTATGTAATTATGTTATTACGATACTTATGCTATTGTAAAGACGGATGAAACCATAATTGTCCGTAAACACCTGTTATAAAAACTTGTTAATAATATCCTCAATCGTTGATGCCACAAAAATAAAAAATGACGTTATTGTTATTATATTCTCTAATTTCAAAACTTTCTTTTGTATTAGTTGACCGAGTTACCTATGTCCTATCGGCGTGAAGTTGATCGAAGTATCAAAACTGTTTGATTAAGAATTGAAGACATAACCTCTCCCATTCTAGTCATCTGCACAGAGATGAAGCGGTTGGCGCTCGCGGCTGTGCTGGTGATACTGGTGATGGAGGAAGTGAGTGCGGAGGCTTACCTCAACCCCACTGACATCCGCCTGCCGCGCAAAGTCTGGCCGCATTTTTACAACCTGTACATCACCACCTCCGTCTGCGAAGACAATCCCGACTTCTCTTTCTACGGCCAAGTCGATATCAATGTAAGTAACTAGTGCTGATAACAAAGGTTCTATTTCCAGTATATAGGTGTTGTGGTGCGTTATCGTTGGCATTTCTAATGAAATATTTATATGCGTTGTCATTGCCAACAATAGTGTAAAAACTATTGTTGGCAATGACAACGCATATAATTATTTCATTCTTTTTCCAGGTTACTCTTTGAAAGGATTTTTAGGAACGCCGGCATTAAAAAAGAACATCTTTTATGTATTTCATTGTATCTGTTTCCATTACGACAAATAAACCAATTATAATTATCTTATGATAATTAACATTTGGTCGGGAACACTTCATTCACATGAGGAAAATTTTTGAAACGGATGACAAATTAGCGGCTGATGGGTCGCATACGGAGTCAAACGTTTTCCAGTATACTGCAAATTATTTTAATATGCAGTAATGTATAAGACGTAGAAATCATCACAAAAAATAACATCGTGTTTTCGAGTCATGAGTGATATTTGAAGAAAAAAATATTATTAAAAAAATGTGAAACATTTTTTAATAATATTTTTCCATTATTAATGAATGAACAAATTATTTCCATTATTAATGAATGAACAAATTATCAAAGCTAGTGAATCAATAATACTCATTAAATATTAAAGAAGATTTTGATATTTTTGACACTTCAATAACAATGTATATTAAATATAGTTTAGGAACAGAAATATTATACAGTGACTTTTTTATTTTGTTACCTCTTTTATACTTTTATGGATATTTTTATTTAATGTAAATCTTGAATTACAAGAAAGTACGCATGGAATACATGAATTTCACTTATTGAAAGAGGACAACATATTAAGATCAATGTTCTACTTTTTGGAGCATGAACTTTATCTTCTCGTCGAAAAGATGAAAATTGTATTGTTAATATTGGAATGAAGTTTGTGTACTAAGCCTCAAATCGACAATATAATGGGGGAAGACAAAACAGTGCACACCAATATCACGTAGTTTTTAAAGAAATGCTACGAGATGAATAGGTTATATTTTTGCACGTAATTCTTTTCTATAAGAACTCTGCACGCGTTTATATGAACGAACAATACTTCGTGCAAGAAAAATATGAAGGAGTAAATATTTGTCAGTTCAATATTTTATTTTCAGGTGGAGGTGAAAATAGCAACCAGCACAATAAAAATCAACGCAAAACATCTTAACATTTCATTTGCAGAAACAACATTAAAGTCATTGGACAGAAATGAATTGATTCCAGTTTCTTCTCAAGACATCGACGAAGAGCATGAGTTCCTTATCATTCATTTCCCCTTGACTCTCTGCACTAACTGTGTTTATGTGCTTCATATAGAATTCAAAGGAATACTCAGAACGGATCTAAAAGGATATTATCGGAGCGAGTATATTGACACAAGCAGCGGTGTAAGAAAGTAAGTTTGATTTTTGTGTAACAATCATTTTATTTTACAAAGTTCTGCAAAGCACCAAGCAGGGCATAATGCAGAATGAAAAAAATCATGAACGTATACTACTTCGAACCACGTTGAAATGCGGTGAAGATTTCTATATTTTTCTACATAACCAGCAAGGACGGAGACAGAAAGAGAGAGAGAGAGAGCAAAAGAGAGAGAGAGAGAGAGAGAGAGAGAGAGAGAGAGAGAGAGAGAGAGAGAGAAAAAGAGAGAAGAAGAGAGAGAGAGAAGAGACGAGAGAGAGAGAAAAGAAGGGAAAAAAGGAAAAGAAGGAAAGGAGAGAGAGATTGAATTTCTTTAACTTACTCAGTTATAATGTGCTACATAAGTTTACATACAATACATATAAGCTTTTAACATTCGCCAAACATAACAATTGTTACACAATCTCTTATTTCAACTGGCAATGCATTATATAATTTTACACCCTCATAGAACATGCTTCTTAGCGCACATCTAGTTCTAAAAAAAATTATTGCAATAATTCCTACATGTCTAGTTTGACTCCCACCTTCACTTCTAATTATTTCTAATCTATCTCTAATACAATGCCAGACCATGCATATTTACCTTAAATATAAATACACATACATTATAGCATGGGCTCTTTTTTACTTTCCCGTATACGTACGTATATACGTAGTATAGAAAAAGTGATGTAATGCTGCGGACAATCGATTTCGAGATTTCAACGAAAATACACGTCTTGGGGTCCCCTGATACCAAAAAAGTGATTTTTTTCAAAACGTCCGTCCGCCTACTTGTACGTCTGGTGCATGTGAACAACACTAGTACCTAAACCATGCGTAGGGTTTTTTTCCAAATTGAAGAAACCCGTGTCCATTTGGCTCGAGTCGAAGCTCTGCAATTTTCAAAATCATTAGTTTTTGGGGTTACTTTACATGAAGCCCCTGGGACATTTTCAAACTTTTCTCAAAAATGGCTCCAAATTTGTTCTTTAAATTTCTTACAAGAATAGAGTAAAACGCAATTATAAATGTGGCATAGGTCCGACAAATGTGACAGATCCGTTCACTGTGAATTTTCGAAAATTTCAAACGTTTTAATTTTTTTGGTGTCTTCCTACAACTACAAAGTTCAAGATACAGATTTTTGCTTCAAATTAAATTTTTTGACCATAATTTTTTCTTTCATTAAATTCATGTACATTTTTTTGAAAATTTTAGTAGTTTTCGCGCAATATTGCGTGCAATAAGTGCAATTTTAAATAATCACAAAAATAAGATTTTTTCAACAACCGCTCTAATGTTTTCTTTAAACGTTTAGTAGGGGTAGTGCTAAATTTACTCTATAAGATGATTTAAACGCCATATTGCTCTATTCGTTTGTTTTTTCAAAGATGACAAAAATGTAATTTTTTTGACTTGCCTCTCACGTCGTTAATTTACATTATCGGCAATTTGTATACATTAATGTATTTATGAGTACACATGTTTTGAATATTGTCAGATATAATTTCTGGAAACTGAACAGTTTTCTGTCAAAATGAGCCCAAAATTCCGTATTTTCCGAAACACTCAAACGCCATTTTCTCAAACAGGCTCCAAACTTTATTTCAAACTTTTCGAACGGATAGTGCTAATTGCACAGTTATGATGACATAGAATTAATTTTGCTATATTCTTTTTCAAAAATGACACGAATGTAATTTTTTGTAAGATCTCTCACGCCTTTAATATGTCAATGTCTAGCAATTTGTAAACACTATTGTATTTGTGAGTTAATGTACTTCAGAAGACTTCATGTAAAGTTTTTCGAAAATTTCACATTTACAGTACCGCTTAAACATTTTCTTCAAAACGGCCCCAAATTTTCCGAAAAAAATTGCCATTTAAGGCGAGGTTTTACTGTTCTTTAATATTTTTAAAATAATATTTCCGTTATACTATTAGAAAACCGACAAATTAAGAACATTTCAAAAAATGTACTTTGGGTGGCGATAAATGGCAGCTGGCAAGAAGTTCATATAGCTAGCCGAGACCAAAAAGCTAATAGGAGGACGTCTGTACCATTTCTTAGCACCAATAGTTTAAATTTTGGACAACCTCAATAAACACTTCCAAAAACTTTTACATAATAATTTTATTTGTGTATTCATACGATGTTTCGGAGACTATTCTGTCTCGCTCATCAGGTAAAATGGAAATTTAATTATAAAGTAGCTCATGAACCCAAAATGATTTTCACAAAAATTACAAATAATAACAAATAAATGTACTCTGTACCCAATTTAATGAAATCGCACCTGTTGTTTATATTAAAAACTACAAGGAATATATACAAAATATATACAAATGATGAACAAAGTACTGCGTATTGCATTTTTAAATACGTAGAGGAGTGCAGTCCAGCCACTTCACGGTTGATCCAATGTAAGTAATTTTGTTAATGTAACAGGGGTCCAAATGGAGAGGGGAAGAAATGTAGTTGCTCCTTTCTCGTGTTATAGCCGCCTATGGCAAGAATATTCACGCCTATGGCAAGAATAGGTGAGCAGCTTATGCTGCCAAAGATTGCTAGTTTTTATGTACACGCTGGAGTAATTACAAATGTGTTGTTTGTCTTTCTTGAACATCCATATATGCATTATTTAAGAAATAATAATGGAAGTTAATTAAGAAATTAATGCTGGTAATAACTGTTTAAATCCTGGTAATATGTTTAATGTCTCCATTTTCCAGATGGTCGGCTGTAACTCAGTTCCAGGCCACAGATGCAAGACGAGCATTTCCATGCTTCGATGAGCCTGAGTACAAAGCTACATTCAAAATTCACTTGGGACGCCCAAGATCATGTACTGCTCTTTCAAACATGCCTCTGATAATTACCCAGAATATGTGAGTAATTTAAAAGTTTGCTCCACATTTCCATGTTGAAATATTTGCACTGCACAATTGTTTGCACAAAAATTACGATTATTTGTAAATAAAACTATATTTTAGTACTAATAGATATTAAGATTCTATTATAAGAAAAAGAGAATTTAATATACACCTATTCAAATTACTTAATATTTTACCTCGTGTTCAATTACGATATTGTTCATTTAGGTTTCAAAATGAAAATAAAGCATGCCCGATAAAGACACAAACAGAGGCGGTCAAAACGTTGTACTACAAGTTTTTATTACGTCAACGTTGTACTTTAAGTTACGATGTGTATTTCGAACCGCGTATTGTACTACATTTTATGGTTTTCATTTACATTGATATCTAAAAACTAAATAAATGTTTGTCTGATACATTGGTCGTAAATTAACATTATGTATTTTATATTCATAGAATAATATCAGTTATTATTTGACAATTATTTGTCTTTTTTTCATTTTAATTTCCATTCTTTGTTTGAAATATTGATTTATTAGTTAAGTAAATACATATGTTATGAAAGGGATTCAAAACCTTTCAATTAGTTCAAATTTAATACAAAGAAACAGATAATTTCATCACATGAAACTTCCGTTATAAATTGAAGGAATTCTCTTGTAAAATTTTAAACAAAGTAGGTGTAATGTTAATTTGAATATTCCAATAATTGCCTGATCAATCTCTTTTTGAAAAAAGGGTTCTTTGTTGTTTTCCATATCTTATTATAAACATTATTATTATTATTATTATTATTATTATTTTATTATTGTTGTTGTTTCAGAGAAGGGCTTCCTGACTGGGTGATGGATGAATTTGACGTAACTAAAAGAATGTCGACCTATCTGGTGGCATGGGCGGTGACCGATTTTCAGTGTGTCAATTCACTCACTGATGGAAGAATACGAGTGTGTTCACGTCCTGACGGGCTCATATATTCCAAGTTAGAATAACATTGCCTCACTCTCGATTAATATCACATTGCGAATCCATCATCGGATATGAAATATAAAATTTATTTTTGCAGCTTGGCTTTAAGTGTAGGACCAGCATCTTTGCGATATTACGAAAAATATTTCGATGTCGCCTATCCGCTTCCCAAATCAGATATGATAGCAGTTCCTGACTTTGATATTGGAGCCATGGAAAATTGGGGTCTTATTACGTACAGGTACTGATTCATCAAGGAAGTTGCATTATTTTTACAGTATCATCGCTGCATTATTTAGAAACTATTTCCGAGAGTTAAAAAATTAGAACAGTTAAAGTAACATTGCTGAGACGATTTGATTTTTATAACTAAATACAGATTTAACAAAAGTATTGAGAGTGAAGACATAGTATTACTAAGGACGAATTTTTAAGCTCTGGAGAATTTTTAAAACTAACTTGTTTATGATACACTTACAAAAATAAGAAGAGGGTAAAATGAATAGTTAAAATAAAGCAATTATCAGACTATGAAGCATGAGTTCCATGTAACAAGTATCAAAATAGTATCAATTTATCATAGATCTTGCTTTTAGTTGAATCATTGACTTACAGTACACAACGAATTTCATCTTCAAATAGTTCACAGCATACGAAGGTGATCTGAAAAGTTATCGGCTTGAAAATGAAAATAGAAAATGATGTTATTCAAAATAGTTTTTTCAACTTAATCTCGAATCATGATGCATTTCTTTCAGCGATGTGGTAAGGCATTATTCGGTCTTCGACGATTTCTCTGGGAGTGCCTTCAAAGTAACCACCCAAAGCCGCAAAGACATCTTGATCCGACGAAAAACGCTGGCCAGTGAGGAAATCTTAGAATGTTGCAAAGAGATTAATGTCTCTCAGAGATTCAATCAAGCAGATATTATGGACATGCTTCACAATGTTCTCAATTTTCTGCTCACTAAAATTATTTTTCGCGACTTAAATTTGGATGCCTTTTTTTTCCTGTAGATCGTGTAGCTTTTTGCGTATTTGTTCGTCGACATTTTCGTCGTATTTTTTCAATTATATTCCCCAGTCTTAATTTTACCTTTTACAGCTAATCAGTCAAGATAATTTATTTTGCATCCCAAAACACCGGTAGGATGTTCTTTCCCACTGATGTCTCTGTCTTCGGTGCTGGTGAACCGGCATCTGTTCTCTGTTTGGACTCTGTATTTTTCCATCTGGATCTTTGACTTTTCCATTGTCACATGTACACATTTTTCTTTTTCATCTTTATTTTCTTAAAGTGCACTGCTCGCAACATTGAAGGCGAATGAGTTTTGATCCGCTACTAGTAGGTGTGGCATCCATCTCACGCACAACTTTTTCACGTGCCGCTCTTCGTACAAAATGTGACAGAAAGGTTCATTTCAAATTGTTACAACATCAACAATGTAACACGTTTTTCCGAGGCTATCTGTCACGGCAGTATAGCCCACTTTTCTGGTGATTTACGGTGATGTACTTTTCACACTCCTTCGGGTGGTTCATCTTGAATCACGGATAAATCGTCCACTCAATTTTTGACGGTGAAATCTGAAGGAGAAGAATAACAGTATTCATTTTCTACACTATGTTCTTCTTAAATGTTTGGTTGATCCCTAAATGCATTTTCCGACGCCTACCTCTTCTCCCACCCTTCTCTATTAATCCAAATGCCAGAAGGTATTTTCCATTCATCTTCATCACGCCCAGCCCCTTTTCCTTCTTTCATCTGGCTCCCGGTCCATAAGCTTCTTTACGACTCTGTCATTCTGCATTCTCTGCATATGTCCAATCCACGTCCTTTGCTAATCATTCTCATTTTCGAAACTTGAATGAATTTTGGTCAGCTTCAAACTTTCTTTTTCGAAGAACTTTATTTCGGCTCTGTCCACGATTTTCTGTATTTCCGTGTCGCTTCGCATTTTTTAAAAGCTGCCTCCAACGGACTGCTGTCTGGAATAACATATCGCGCGGGTAGTACTGTGATCTATGAACGAAGTCAAAAACTTTTCACCCCACATCGTGTATTTTTCTTTTGGCCAACACTTCAGCATTTGGAAATCTAATGCTCATCATAAATTCAAATTCAGTCTATGACTAAAATTTTATTTAATTAAACAAGGTAGTTTGAGTGTAAAATCAACTATTTATTCAATAGACTTATTGTGAAAATATGATTTCCTTGATTGAAAAATAAGTTAATATAGCCTACACTTTGATTTTAATTATTTCCCAAACCTCTTACAACTCGAAAACACCCATTATACGTGTTTCCAGAACAATGTTTCCTTATCATGATTAAGCCAATGATGCTTAATAATTAACACATATTTATTTAGTGTTTCGATCTGAACACACATCAAACGAAATAAGTATGGATTTTTCACTGTATGTAATCAACTGTCGTTTCATATGCGCATTTCTCATAGAGTTTGGTTCTTTTTGTCACACTTTTTCATGTTTGCAGGGAGGCGCTTCTTTTGTCTGATGAATCTTCCGCCACACTTACCTCTAAATATAAAATAGCATATATTATATCGCATGAATTAGCTCATCAGTGGTTTGGCAACCTAGTAACAATGAAGTGGTGGTCTGATCTTTGGTTAAACGAAGGATTTGCTACATTTGTAGCATCTTTAGGAGTTCAAAATGTAAGAATCCCTTTTATAAAAAACTAATATATATTTGTTTTAGGGAAACGAAATGTTTTTTTATATATTTTTTTAATTATAATTTGACTTTACTAAATTAGCATTATTGGTAGTGCTTCGTTTTTACTTAAAGTTAGAACCAAATCAAATTAAAACACACATCATTTTTATTTCTGCATATTAGTTTAGGAACGACTAAAGAACTTTCGATGCGCATGGAAAAGCCCGATTTCTACTGTCTGAGGTTGAGAAGTTGGGCTAATAGAGTGTGACGCTAATGGTCTCTAAAGAGATGGAGATTCTTGTGGTTCAAAAAGTGCCTGAGAATATGTATTCAAGTGAAGAGAAAATGTAAAATAAGTTATGTAAAATAACTCACAAATTATTATTTGCCCGCACCGCTCTCAACTATGGTCAGTCCACCTTAAATATGCAAATACTGGGCTGAAACTCCAGAAATTAGCGCTTTTGAAAAATAATTACACCTACAAAACATTATTACATTAATAAAAACTGTCCAAATTAATGTATATTAAATATTCGTGGCTCATTTCTTAAATGTTATATGATGAAAAAAATCGTCTTAATTATATCAATAAGAAAACAAGAATATCAGGCACCGAAACATTTTGCCATTATTATTTCCAGTTACATAAAAAAAATATATACTCCAGCATTGAAATAAAATACAGTGATTTAAGACCTGACTTACGGCAAATGTTGTATTAAATACATTTTGATCAAAAGTAGGATATCTCGAACAATGATCCATATAAATGTCCATTACCTATATGTCAACTGAAACTGTGCAGCCAGTTGCGAAACCGCAACGAGGAAGGTTGTGATTTTTGATAAATTTCTAGTACGACAGAAATGTTTTCGTATTGTAACTATAGAGTGGGTAACAAACATATATCGCATAGTTTCTAGAACAAAATGAATTATTATTTTTCTAGTACTTTGTTTCTCTTAAAGTTGTAATGCTTTTTTAGGCATTTCCTCACTGGAATTCCAGACAAGTTGAAGCAGTGGAAGAATTGCTTTCTGTATCGTCTGTAGATAGCCTTGTGTCATCGCACGCTATATCTCTGAACATTAGCCATCCCAATGAAATTACTCAAATGTTTGATGTGATTTCCTACAAGAAAGGTAAATGTAGATGTCACAACAATATACATAAAAACACGAAATACGTATAATTAAATATTTTAATCCAGTGCAAATATTCTTATTTTTATGCAAGCTGAGGAATCACGAATAAACAACGAAAAAGCTTAAAGATAAATTTCATGTCATTTATTTATATTACTGACGTTATGTTTCAACATTTCAGAACTAGTGGTGCTAGAGCAGAACATGCTTTCTAGTAGTTTTTATACTTTCGCAAGTTTGTGACATTGATTTCACGATTTGATGCATTTATGTAAATTACCTAATCAAATACATAAGAGAAAAAAGTTTAGAACATTACTTAAAGTATTAACTTAATATATGTATATTTGTGTATGTGTGTGTTGGAAGCGATTTAAATAAAGCTTTATAGAATAATAGTTCGTATACGCTCATCCGAATGTTAATTCAGTTTTTCGACAGGGTCATTATTTTTCTATTTTAAAAGAAAATATGAACAGTACGTAAACGCAATTAATATTAATATATAATATTTCCCCCTTTCTAACAGGATCCCTCTTACTACGTATGACTAGTCTCTTCTTGGGAGAAGAGGTGTTTCGGCGAGGTGTTATAAATTATTTGAAAAAATACAAATATGGAAATGCTGATAGAGACGATCTCTACCACGAGTTGACGAAAGAAGCGCGAAAGCAACGGGTTCTCAGCAGCGGTCTCACACTGAAAGAAATACTCGATACGTGGACGTTGCAAACTGGTCATCCTATGGTCACCGTGCGACGAGAAGGCAGATCGCTCGTGCTAACTCAGGTAAAATCTCAAGAGATTTAAATCGGAAAAGATCGGGGCATCAACTGATGCCACTGCAGTGCCTCTGACCGGGAGGTGGAAGTCCTAGGGTAGAATTCTCGACACTAGCTTCATAGGTGGGTCGAATTCAGTCGCTGTCTGAAGGAGAATTCTAGAGGCCGGCTGCCCTGATCGGTATTTTTCCGTGGTTTCTCTAATCAATAACGTGAATGCCGAAGCAGTACCCTAACAAACGGGCCACGGACCGCGCGTAGTCATTCCTACCCTTTTCTTGACCTATTCTCACCCCTTACTAACACCCACATACACTTACATACAGCAATACACTACCCCACATGCCGAGAGACCAGTTGGGAGCTAGAGCTTGTTCCGGTTGGGGCGGTGCCCCGCTGATGGGAGATTCCTGGTTGAGGGGAAACCCCGCTAACCGATGGTAAGACTGCGCCGGCTAATCATCCTTCGAGGAAATATCACCGCCACCTCCTGATAAAAACATATGTACTATAATTACGGGACAAATAAACTAAGCATTTGCCGTGCCTGAAATCACTAACCAATCAATGAAAAAATTCAAGATATTCAAATATAATTATTATCTTTCATTTCATTAATTTCATATCCTGATACGGATTTTTATCCCTATGCGCAATCAAAGCGACACAGCTGGCTAGCGGAAAAAATTCACAAATTTGATCTGAATATATCATTAAGAAGCTCAGTTTGAACTGTTTAATCTGAATTTATTATGGAGGAGTCAAGATATCTCTTAACTCTTCAAGATATTCCACCAAAGTGTGTTGTTAACACAATCTTTTAAGGGGGTTCCCCCACGAAAGAGTGGAAGTGCGAGTGAACTTTGAGAGGTTGCGAGATTTCTTTTGAAGTCGGTAAATTCATAAACATTACACCCTTTGACCCCCTTTTATATTATTATTATTATTATTATTATTATTATTATTATTATTATTATCATCATCATCATCTTCACCCTACAACATGTTTGATCTCCATTGATCTGCGTTCTTTCCGACCATCCCTTTTGTACTGAATCTACCACAACACTGATGTGTGTTGATTTATAATTACAAAAGTAAACTTAAAATGAATATATTTTAGAAAAGCATAAGGAATGTAGCAAATTAAATTACTACAATAATCTGAATAAAATACTACGAAAGCATTGAGTGCTACTAGTACCATATAAGAACGACACAGTTTATTAAAAATAAATTCGTAATAAACAACAAATGTTCCAATTATTAGCACACATGTTAACGATTTCTTTTCTCCTCGCGTATTTCTCTGCATATATAACTTAAAAGAAACTCATTTATTTCATAACCCTATACACATATTTTGATCGTCAAGAAATTATTTCAATTAAACTTTAATTGTACACCCAACAACAGTTGACCATTGCCAAATATCAGTCATGAAATGTATTTTAATTCATAAAAATGGTCTTTCTAACACGACCGCGAGCCGACTTTTGGTTTATTTTTTCAGTGCCAAATCTCGTTCAGTAAATCAGACGCTCTCGTTCATTTCAGAGACGATTCCTGTTCTATAGAATCGCGCGCACGAGACTCGCTTCAATTCAGCCGGCGTGCTGGTACATTCCCATCACTTTAACCACCCAAAGTGACCAAGATTTTGCTCGAACAAAGCCCTTGGCGTGGATGAAGTGCGATGTCTCCGAGCTCGTGCTGACCAACGCCGCGAAAGAAGACGAGTGGTATATATTGAACATGCAAGCTGCAGGTAAGAACATGGCGGTCATCTTACGCGTAGTCAATAAAAGGAAAAGGAAAAAAATATAATTATGATTGAACATGTCTGTAATAATTACACAATTCATTATAACATACATGGATTACTATTTTACGCAGGTGGTTCACAAGTTTTCTTACGAATACTCATAATTTATTATTTGGTATGTAAATACAGTAAATCCTCGTTAACACGAATTTCAAGGTACTGAAATAATCGTATTATTGTTATATTATTCGTGTTATCTAATTTTTATACACATCCTCATTAAAAGTTTTTTTTCGCAGGACCTAAATTTTGTTCGTTTTATGACAAATTTCGTGTTAAGCGAGTTTGTTCTAACGAGGGTTTACAGTATTACGGTTTCAAACCATGTAGAAAACATAGACAAAAATAAAATATCGGACAGGGTGTTACCTAGGGATGCATCGAACAGAATTATGAAGAAAAAAATATAAGTTCGCAGACTGTGATGCAAGTAAAACAGTAGGTGCCCATGCAATCTGCGACGTGCATTACAAAGCAACACACCCTGCCGTAGGCCATAACTTCGAAACGATGCGTTATAGACTCTTAATTCCAGGTTTACTGGACTTTTTAACTGGTTTACGATGTTTACGGGTTTACAAACTTTTGTTTAACAGGTTTTCGAACTTTTGTTTAACACGTTTACGAACCTGAAAACGACGCGTTCTAAACTCTTAAATCCAGGTTTCCAGGAATTTACAGAAACAGGGTTACCATTAAAACTCGTCCGTAGTTACCAACTGTTACCACTCGTCCCTCCCGGGGCACAAGTTTTGTTTTGCAGGACGAAAACTACTTTTTTACTACTAAGACCTTTTTGAACGTCGTATCAAATTTTTGTTTTAAGAAACATCCGAAGTTAATTGATGCTATTTCTACTTTTAACACAATTATTTAAAAAGTGAAGCCATTTTGTCGGATTACAGTTTTCTTACAAAGAATTAGGTATTTTGGGTCCAACTATCACAATCTAGGAGATACGGATCTTCTAGGTACATTAGCTGTACAGAATCTCCAATGTCATTCACATGGAGACCGTGCGGGAAACTTGTGGAGGGACAAGCACATGTATTTGAGGCATGTAGAGGAACATGCTGGGTGACGAGTAAGCTCGGGTTGTGTATCTTCAGCCATATTCCACAAAATAAGATCTTTCTTTCACCTTCAATTAGATTTTGGAAGAGGTTTAGTTCTCGTGAGTACCACCACTCCGTAGCACAGGTGGCCAGTAACAAGCAAAATCTCGGTATCTTTGTAAAATGAAATTGTCTATTTCATATTCTGTGCATTTTAATCTCACGAGTGAAATTATTTCTGTTTGTTAATAAACGCTCAGCAATATTAAAATGTTTACTCACACACAGAACCGCAACTACAAAATTGAAACGCATAGTCAGTGGCCATTAGAAATTCATTTCCAGTGTGGTTCTAATTTCACTTTGAAAACTGAATTACAAGGTGTGGAATGTTTGCATTGGCCTAATAAAAATGTGTATTTTACAAAAACAGTACAAACCCAAAACATGGTAAGAGGGGGACTACGATACTTTCCGCTTCTAAATAAATTTCACCTCTCTCAATTTTTCTAGTTTTATTGCATTTATTAAAATAATTTTCAATGGAAACTTTTTAAATGATGATGTTACTAAATGTTATTAGCATAAGACAATGAAACTATTGCTGTCATCTTTTACGTTAAGAAATGAATAACACGTCTGTTTCAGGTATCTACCGAGTTTTTTATGACCTGGAAAATTGGAAAGCGCTAAGTAAAACATTGAACAGCAGACACTACAAAAATATTGCGGTGATGAATCGAGTGCAAATTCTTAACGACATTATGCATTTCACGTGGACTGCCGATATTGATGCAGATGTTGCTTTCAGGCTAATTGGTTATATTAGAAGAGAAACGGAATTTCTCCCATGGAGAGTTGCTTTACATAATCTTGAAAGAGTAAAAAATATATTTTCACGCACAATATATTACAACGTGTTTATGGTAAGTGTTAGAAATCATTTTTCAGTGCTTTGCATAATTCAAAAGTTTGGTTATTATTCATATTCTGTGTTGTACCACACTCACAAAAATTCATTAACTAGTAGTGCTACAGAATGTTACAGACTTCCTCGTACCAGTTAGTTCCTTATCTTTTCAATCTCTGATATCTTTACGGTTTTGTCCCACCTTGTTCTTAGCTGCCATCTATTGGCATCTAAAACAAATTTTCTCAATTTTTCGGATCCTTAATAGCAGAATTGAAATATGACTTTAAGAATATTACAGAAGGGTAAAATCTGGACCTATATGCACATTATCATTAAAAAAATTGGAGCTGTTTTAAAAAAAAAGTTGTTTGAGCGTTATGGAAATGTCCGCTTAGATGCTCATTTTCACCCAAATCTTTTTTAATTTTCGAGAAACTCCATTACAAATTATATGAAGAAATTATACTCATTAACGTCATAATCTACGAGGTGAGCCCGTAATGTAGATGACATGAGACATATTTCAATTTTTATTTTCGAAAAAATAAAAGGGTACAACAAAGTGGCATTTATGTTATATTATTCAGTTCATTTATTACTAACTGTATGAAAAAAATTAAATAAAAACTTTTCCGTTTTCTGGCTCACGATTACATAACTTTCTCTTCTTACGAAGTATTCGTGAGGCAAGAAAGTAAAATTTGCTGATAGACCAAGGAGCATTCATAGTGCGAAAATACTTCGAATGGTTTGTTTAGGCACAAGCGCTATTCACAGACAGACAGACGTTTCGAAAACTAACACTTTTTCGATATCAATGGGACCTCCAAATCTATATTTCCATTGAAATCGATTTTCCCCGGCAAAACATATCTTTCTATACTATGTATATTACCCAGTATATGCTAAGTATATCCTATACGAGAAAGTAAAAGTCTATAATTATTACTAACAAATATATTAAGTTTATATTTTTGAAAACTATAATATTAAATAAGCTAAATATTAAAAAAAGCAAATTTAAATAACGACAAGGAAATTGGACGAGCCTTATGATTTTGGATGTTTTGTGTGAGGGAGTTGTATCTCGAAGAGCATATTAGGCATTTCATAGACAATTGCTGGTTTCAGATGAGTTGAAATCAACTTTATGCGCTGAGTCTGCAGCGACTGACTGGGAGGTTCTAGGATTCGAATCCCGATGGTTGTGGATTTTCGACACTAGCTTTTCAGCTAAGGCGAATTCAGTCGCAGTCTGTAGGAGAATTCTAGCGTCCGACTGCTCCGATCGGTAGTTTTCCGGGGTTTCTCCAATCAACACCAGGCGATTGCTGAAGCAGTACCCAAACAAACGGGAAACGCACCGCACGCGATCTCATCTTCCTCTTCCTTGTCCTATCCTCATCCCTAACCTACACACTTACACTAACATGCACTACACTACCACACATGCCGGGACACCCGTCAGGAGCTGCTAAGAGCTTGTCTCGGCTAGGGCGGTGCCCCGCTAGTGGAAGATATCTAGTTGGAGAAAACTCCGCAAGCCGCCGTTTAGGCCAACGTCTGACCTCTCCATCCAGCGGGGGAAAATCACCACAACCTCCCAAGGAAAAACACGCACTACACATACGGGAGCAATGACCTTAGCCGTTGTCGTGCTCGGAAGCCCCGAAATAATTAATCTGTCGATCGGCGGCCCTGAGTCGGAGGTAGGACTGCACGCAGATCGTTAAAAAAAAGGATTCTTGAATCGATCTCGCACCGTTTATGAAAAATCGGCTACCTGAAAAATCGACTTTAAAAACTCCTTTCTCCAAGAATCGATTCATCAAAAGTCACGAAAGAATTTAAACACAACATTGTTTTAGAATTGTTTTAAAAAGGATATATTTTGGGTTTTTCCTAAAATAAATAAAATTTATAAAAACGATACATTTTGGTTTATAATACTAAAATATTAAGCAATTTTCGGGTTTACAAATATGCAGAATCTGTATGCCGAATGACACAATTAGTGGACCTGTGCGTAGGCGCCCTTTCTCTTACAAAATTAAACTTTAATTAGAATTAATACAATGGTTTTTCCTGGTTTAGATATTTATTTCCCACAGTCTGGACGGCAAGAACCTCAAGAACAGCAACTGCTGTACAAAAGTAAATTATATGTAAGAAGTGCTTGTGAACGATTCGATTTCAAGCTTAAAAAATCGATTCAAACAAAAACCGTAAAGAACGGAATCGATTCAAAAGATCGATCTTTTTTGTTTAAGAAAGGGTTTGTGCACGCCATAGCGTCAGCACAATCGAACAAGTGTGGTGCGAAACTTAAACTGCACGTGCGCTTGAGATCGATACTGCTTTAACGTTCCTTAAAATCGACCTTCTGCGAATCGATCCAGAATCCCTAGTCAGCGGTCGGTTGCAGACGTGGGTGCGTCGCCTGCTGAAGCCGGCGTTCGAGCGCGTGGGCAACCCGGAGCCCGACGACCTGCACGGCACGCGCCACCACGGCCAGCTGTTCCAGTGGGCGTGCGAGATGCAGATCGACACCTGCATCTACCAGGCTCGCGTCTTCTACGCGCAGTGGATGCGCAACCGCAACCCCGCGCGCAACGACGTGTACGTACGCAGCGGCAGCAACGCGCCCCCCCCCCCACACGATTGAAGAGCGTCTCGAAGTTGCTCGCTTCCCGTGGGCGTGATCTGAGGAAGGCCACGACAAGATGATCGAAACGTCGGCAACCCCATCTAATATCGATGAATTCTCGGCTATCCGGGAGACGCCGCGTCGTTCTCTGGGGGGCCGACGTTTCGCCTGACATGACACACTCACTGCCCTGAGGGAGCCTGCGACATGTCAGGCGAAACGTCGGGACCCCAGCCAACGACGCGGCGTATCCCGGATAGCCGAGAATTCATGGGTTCGAGGCGCGGAAGCTTACGTATACACCCATCTAATATCTCAACATGATGAAATTTCGGATCCCTATTAGGATTATGTTTAGTAATTCAAATCATAACAGGCATCTTCTTACAGCCTTCGACCCGCGGCGTCACCCGGACAGCCCAGATCACGCGCATGACTCTGGCCGCGGAAACCTACGACTTCACCTTCTCGCTTCCTGCAAACGCAGGCTTCTGGCATGTGAAGGCTCTCGGCTGTCTGGGTGACGCCGCGTCGAAAGCATCGATGCCGACGTTTGCCCGGAAAAGGAAAACTAGTGGTGCTACAGAATGGCACAGACTTCCCCGTATTAGTTTTCTATTTCCATTGCTCTCGGCTAGCTATTCGGACTTGCTGCATACTCTTGCCAGCTGCCAGCCATCGCCGACCAAAGTGCCATTAATCACTGCCCAAAGTACCTTTTTTAAAAAATTTTGTTAATTTTTCCGACTCGTAATAGTAGAATCGAATTATTTCTTTAAAAATATTAAAGAACAGTAAAACCTCGACGCAAATGACAATCTTCTTTGAAAAATATGGAGCCATTTTTAAGAAAATGGCATTTAAGCGCTACTGTAAATTTGAAATTTGAACCTCTTTTCACAGAAGAGGTTTTGGAAAACTTCATATGCCGTCATTTCAAGCACTTCCAGTCATTAGTGTTTACAAATTGCTCGAAATGTGCATATTACATTACCTTTCAAAAAAATAATATTTGTGTAATTTTGGAAAAAAATACTGAATTTTGATTCAGATATTGATATAGTTTCAATTTCTCGATTTTTCTTCGTAAGAAGATAAAGTATTGTCTCGGCACGAAAAAAATTGCTTGAAAACAGTTTTGCGGGTTCATGTAGTAGTATGATATTTCGGAGCCGTAACAAATAATGCGAGAAACTATGTGTTGTTGTGGCTCCACTAGTTCTTTCTCAAGAAGATCTGGATATTCTTAAAATATTTTTCTTAAGCAACACTGAAAAAATGAAACTACAATTCATTTCTCCGTAGTTGGACTTACAGAAAAAATTATTTAATTTGAAATTTTCTAAACACATGAACTACGCCTATAATATGTCTCCATTAAATAATTTGAACCTCAGCGTAAAAATATAAGTGACTTTTTCATGATCTTGTGTATTGTTAGCACCTTTTATCATCCTGTAATGAGCTTAAATGAACCAGTCTATTTGGTATTTGTTTCAAAATTTGTTGCAGAATACCAATTTATCTCAGAAGCATTTCAACTTGTATTTCTGTAAAGTATGGTGGAGAACAAGAATGGGAATTTGCCTGGAATGCCTATTTAACAAGCAGCGATGGAAGTGTAAAAGTAGAATTCCTTAAAGCTTTGGGCTGCAGCAGTCAGCCTTGGATTCTACGCAGGTAGGATTAAATGAGTAAAATTTGTAAATCAATTACATCTGCCAAATCTGAATTTACGAACATTTAGAATGGCGATCAGTAAGGAAACTATTGCCTCTGAGCTTCCGAATCAGAATTTTGTAAGTCAAAGATTATACGGAGAATTGCATTAGGAAAATTACAATCTAAACCGACCTTAATAATGAAACTTATTTATTTTTCACTAAATTTCAATAATTAAGTATATTTGTATGGACAAAATCGTATGCTCAAGAAATATTTGTGTTACTCCTTTACAGGTATCTACAGTGGATGCTGGAAGAACACGAAATCAGGCAACAAGATGCTGATCATGTTTTTTTGAGTGTTGTGCAAAATGATGTGGGCTTTACGGTAGCCAAAGAATTCTTCATGGCAAACATTGAAAAGCTGACTAATCTGTAAGTATTATGTGTACAAAATTCCTACGAACTTCACATTTGAGAGAAAAAAAGTATCGTATTGATGGCGAATACCAAATCATTTTTCTGTGAACTTCATTCACAATAACGGAGCTAATGTAACTAAATCCACAATTTATAAGGAAATGGGGAGTGTTCAATTTCCTTCTAATTTAATATTTCCTTAAAAGGAACGTAAAGGGAAAATGTTGAGTATTAAAAATTAATTTCCATGAAAGATAATGATTTGAAATAGATATCACAAATTAGAATGGCTCCCAGTATGAACATATTTTAGAAGATTATATTGTACTGAATTCACATACTTCTCGCACTTTGAAAAAGCCCAGGATATACTTTTCGAATAATAAAATATCGCCTCAATATATCAAGCAGGTATTGATTTCAGAAAGCTCAAGTTGAACGTCAAGAATACTCGTTTATGATTGTTATTTGGCGTGCTTATGAAAACATTACGATATAAAAGATTTCTAGTGGCCTGCAGCAGTAAATGAAGCTTTTCAGTTGGGCGACACGAATAATAGTTATTAATGATACTAGTGATAAAAGTGATATTTTATTTTGCGAGTAGAAAATGTTGCGACTTGAGGCCAGCAGGCAGAATGGCACAATCCTACGAGCAAAATGTATTCACTTTTACCACGTGTGTCATACACTATTTTTTTAGACAGACTTACTGACTTTAGTTTTATAATAATTAAAGCATACAAATTCATTAATGGTATATTAATAGCAGTAGCAACTGAAGCGGACAGTGAAAATATGAGAGTCGGTCAAAGAATAATGCCTCCTTTTTTTGTTAAATAAAATTAGTTAAGTCAACATTCTGAATTTGATACTCGTACTATACTTCAAACCTTCTTCTTCAACCTACTGCAGTAGTAACTTTCTAAGTGAACATGTGGCAGCACAGCAGTCGCTTGCAAAATGTTCGACAACGATGTTCGTATAAGACAGTGAATTATGTGATTTAATTCACGAATGCAGAAGGTGAAATACCCATTCGCGTTCATGAAAGACTGAAAAATGTGTAGGGCGATGCAACAGTGGATGTAAATACTGTGACACGTTGAGTTGGTTGCTACAACGAAGCGTAAGGGAAAACACCGTTGTCTGACGAAAACCAGAGTGACAGGTCTGGTAACAACAGTCCCTCTACGCAACACTCAGCAAGTTGCGTGGAGTGCCTGCAGACCATGAGGGTCATCACGAATGATGTCGTCAACATCGATTTGGCCACCCAGAATGCTCGACATGAATCTCATGGAAGGACGTAATTGAGAGGTCAGTTCACGCACAAAATCCTGCATCGGCAACACTTTCGCAATGAAGACAGACGAACATCAACAGTAAGAAAGTTCTTCAGTGAGGACGTGGTGTGTTCAGAAAGTTCAGTAGAGCGCATTAATCAGAATTGTGTAATGAAGATGAGAATTAGATGAAGAAAGATGTAATGTATTGGTAGAGTATTATAAAGGACAGTGCTGTGAAAAATTGAATGGGCTAAAATAATTGAAAACGAGAATACAGAGAAACGTCTGGAATTGAACCTGAAGGAATGTTTTGAAATGTGAAGAAAATACATAGGTATCGTTATTTAAAATTCTGAATTTAGCGAGATGTTTCGTTATTATTTGCGTTTAACAACAAAATGGCTAAGTTAATATTTTATTATGAATAAATGTTATCTTTTATTTTGAATTTGAGTATATAATTTAATATTTTCAGTAAGCTGCTTTATTCGAATATTTGGTGTATACCATAAAATCATCGGCACTGAATAAATATTAAATGAATATTTTTACTTTCGCCCATAAAGTAATATTCATTATATTTTTGATTAATGGAAAAAGTAAAAATAATCACAATATCTTAAACCTTTTACAAAATATTCGATGTGGTCGTTTTTGATTACACGTTTTCTTTTTTTCAGATTTGGATCCAGAAATAGCCATTTTAGAAAATGGATTAAAGAACTGGCTAGTATGATGTTTACTGAAGAAGAATACGAAGAGGTATGGTTTCTACACGGTTTAAATTAATGAGATGTAAAGGGGCTTGTTCATAATGTTTCATCACAAATAATCGGTTAATTCGCACGTCAGGCGATGAAGGTCCTAGAAAACAAATTCTAAAACAGTAGAGTCATTTGCGAAAAGTCTGAAGATATTCCTATGGTTTCGTGTAATAAACACTAAAAAAACATTGCCTCGAATTTGCAGGGACTTCAGTTGGGTCTGATCGGATAGGAAATATTTTAAGAAAAACACTTTTGTGATATGGGCATTAACACATTGTTCACAGACGGACAGAGGTTTTGATTAAACCGCTTTTGAGATAGTAGGGGCCAGCAAAACGTGTATTTGCGTCAAAATCTCGACATCATTTTACCGCAGAATTACCACTTTCTGTGTGTGAGAAAATAAAAGTAGCTCAGACTCAAAAGAAGGGGGGCATCATCTAAAATGAGAAAGCTTGTACCATTTCTAGATTCTTCAGATATGTCTGCAGATCAGAATTTTTTTTATCACTCTCCTGGTTATTTTTTCTACCTTTTGACCCATTCTGAAATCTGCTGGAAGGGGCATGTTACAATATCATTAACATTTCTGCCGTTTCAATCATTGCACCGTGGCGTTGTTGAAAATCGGTCTGTGCAATCTTGCTGCAATCAGTTATTAAGTAATTGTTTATTCATATTGTTTCGATAGTCAGCGCTTGCTATCCTGGTCAGTCTTCTCTATGTTGACTTGAATGGCTCCTGTATTTATGGCCTGAGTTGGATTGCTAGGTCCAGGCCTTCTTGGGAGCCTTTCCGCAGCCAACTCCAAGAGAGGGAGCCGTTCCCCTTCCCTTCGATCGATCTATCGATTGATTAGTGTTTCCGGGCGCGTCAACTGCTAAGGTCATTAGTCCCGTACGTGCAGAGCATGTTTTCATCGCGGGAGGTGACGCTGATATTCCCCCGCTGGATGGCGAAATCTGACGCCGACCTACGTCGACTTGTGGGGATTTTCCTCAACCAGGTATCGCCCACCAGCGAGGCACCGCCCCAACCGGAACAAGCACCAAGTTCTCCCCACATGTGTGGTAGTGTAGTGCTTGTAAGATGTGTGTGTGTGTGTGAGTAAGGGATGAGGAAAGAACAAGGAGGAAGAAAAGATTGCACGTAGTTCATGGCCCGTTTTGTAGGGTACTGCTCCGGCATTCGCGTGGTGATCGGAGGAACTACTAAAAACACCGATCAGAGCAGCCCACCGATAGAGTTCATCCCCAGACAGCAACTGAATTCGACCCAGACCCGACCTATCACCTCCCTGTCATAGGAACAGCAGAGACATCAGTTGATGCCCTGAGCCACCCTTCGATGTTCGAGAGTACTGTCCGTTGAGCCGCTCGCCGTATCACCTTGTTCAGCAAACCTGACGTTTCCTCTCCACTGATGGCGCTTCCAATTTGAACTGTATTTCCCTTATGTATTTCGACGAGCCACGTCTCCCTTCAATTTTAAATGCGTTCTGCCAGTTTTTGCTTCTCTGTCTTATCTTCTGAAGCCCATAGACTGTGGGCTTTAGACTATGTCTAACATCACTGAGCGGGTGGTTAGCGCGATTGATTTTCTAATTTAACGACAGACATTCCCCAACTCCGCTCTCGTCCATTCTATTTTACCAGAAGCAGGTCCGGACTTAAAGAGCCAGGGCCCTAGATAAACAACATACTGGGCGTTATAGTAATACTCCGTTATAGTAATTGAACAAATAATGGACAAAAATACTTAATATTCAACATAAGAATTACAAAATATATGTCTAAAAAAAAGAAAACTCTGTAATATTATATAATGATAATAGTTTAACAGAATATTTTTATTTTGTTGTTATTATTGAGTCCATCCAAAACGTAGCCCTTCCATTTTGCTAGGCACGGCCAAAGCCCAAAGATAAATGCTTCTTTGGCTTTTAGATCCCGACAAACTTCGTTGATTGAGCCAACTTATTCCAGCCGAGAGCATTTGCTCGAGATCAGGCTATGCAAAAGTAAATAAAATCGTTGGCTTTACGTCTATGTTATTTTTTCCCATTTCTGTTCAGACGTCAATTCCCCTCAACAGCTTCTAAACTGCACGAAAACAGCGACGTGACTGCCTGATATACCCCAGGACAGAATGTGGGTGATTTGGAAAAAATATAGAAACATCTAGTTCCCCAAGACGTCAGGCCGTGTTTTGGGCTCACGCCTTTTGTGCTTCGGCTTTTCACAGCCTTTACAATTACATGATTCAATTGATTGTTCCAATACCTTCAGACTCATTGGGCAGTATCCTCCCACAAGTAGATTTTCTTCAATCGATTTTTCCACAGTGGAGGTTATTAGGTGATTGTGACTTCAAATGGCAAATGTACGAGTTTTTCGATGAGGCTCATTCATAAACGTCGCTGTTTGTATTCCATATTGCTTCAATATTCGCAGTTTGGATAGAGACGACATATCTGTTGTCTGTAGCTAATAAAGCTTTTTCTGGAGCTTCTGATACTACCTTAAGCAACACTATTACTATTCTTCTTCTCCTTCTTATTATTATGCTTGATTTGAACTTGATAAATGTAGTATCATCAAATATTTAACATAAACTATCATTCATTTTCAGTTCAGCGAGTTTACAGATACCAACAAACGTTTTTTGGAAGGAGCTGAAATGGCTGTTAGTCAATCAAAGGAAGTAATAAGAGACACTATACGTTGGTACAAACGAAATTTTCCTCATTATGTTGCAATGATGGAAAAGTACAAGATTAGAAGAGAAATGAACTAATTTTTTGTAGTTAAAGGCAAAATGGGAAATAAAACAAATCAAAAACAAACAATAATCGAAAGTGTTATCATGTATCATCAGTGTTAGTGAAATATATATTACAAGACGATCAATTGTTGAAGTGAACATACGTAAAATGTTGTCTTCCAATTTCAAGGTTTTGAAGAAATAAAATTCTGAAACTATTCTAATTCGCTATCACAAATACAATTTCCATTATAATTCCAAATATATGAGTGACATCATTTAAATAAATTACATTAACGGATGTTCCCAATCTCAACTTGAAGTATTAATATCTACAGATAAATTTTAACAATATCTTCATATTCATGATCGTGGGAAAATACACATATTGTAGGTTCCCTATAAAAGATTATACTCGAACACACATATTTCATTCCTTTCTGTTAGAAAAGTACTTTACAATAATGTATCCAAATGTTGCATACGGCAAATTGATAGATTGATTGTTAGTGATTGTGGGCACGTCAACCATCAGGATAAGTGTAATGCATGTTTTTTGCTCGGGAGGTGGCGGTGATCTTTCCCCCGCTGTATGGCGAGATCCGGCGCCGACCTACCGTCGATTAGCGGCGTTTTCCCCAACCAAGTATCTCCCTCCAGCGGGGCAAAACCCCAGCCGAGACAAGCTCTCAGCTCCTGACGGGTCTCCCGGCATGTGTGGTAGTGTAGTGCCTGGTAGTGGGTGTGAAGATGGGACAAGGAAGAGGAAGGTGAGATCGCGCGCGGTGCGTTGCCCGTTTGTTAAGCTACTGCTCTGGCATTCGCCTGGTGTTGATCGGAGAAAGCACGGAAAGCTACCGCCGGCCGCTCGAAGTCTCCACGGACAGCGACTGAATTTGACCTAAGTAACAAGCTAGTGTCGAAATTCCTGCCACCGTCGGGACTCGAACCTATGACCTCCCGGTTAGAGGAACTGTAGTGACATCAGTTGATGCCCTGAGCACATACTGTAAATTAAAAACACGACTAAGTTATTTTCAATGCTCATCATTTATACTAACAATTCACAAATAACACTCTCAAAAATTAATGCTATTTCCATTATAAAAAATACCAGTTTAAAAAAGACATTCTAACTAGTGGTGTCATAAAATGATTAATTTTCTCGCGTAAGTTTGTTTCCTATTCTTTTCAGGCGGGACTCGCTTTTTACTTTTTCATTTTGCCCCACCCTGTCGCCAGCTTCTATCGGCCTACCAGGACCTACCGCTCTTCTGGAGGCAATTCTCAATGAAGAGGACCTTCAAGCTCCCAAAACTATCCCGACTCTTAAAAACTGAATTTAACCATTTTTACAGGACTTATGATTAAAAAGTTGCTAAGAAAATCCCGGAAAAAGAAAAAATGCCGATTTTTCGCGCAACCGTAGTTAGCACGGAGTCTAAGAGATACGTTTTTATGACCTTTTTCAGGTAAAATGTTCTTAGAACAACGTGGGACAAGAGTCAGCATTTTTTATAAAAGATGTTAATTTCCACTCTTGTAATTGGTATATTGATTCGTTTTCAACACAGAGCTATGCTTAATTTATGAGGAATAAACTATCCAAACAAGAATGGCGTATCTTTAAATTTGATGTCTAAAAAAACATTAAAGAAGGAAGTGGAATGTTCGGACTTTTGCCCTATATGCGTGGTAAAAGTCATAAGCAAAAGGGGCAAATGTCCGAATATTCGAGACGTACGCAGATATCTCAATGGTATTGATTAAAACAATGTGGAATAATAACTCAATTCGAAGTACTGGTACCGGGGAGCGGAAATAAAAGGGTACCATTGTGAAACTAGTTTCAGCGAATAACATAATTAAGATCAAAAATTCGGAAAACGAACGAAAACGAAGTTGACATATTACACCAGTCATGATTTTTGGACAAGACTTTTGTCACCGTTGCGAGCACATCATAAGATTAATGGACACTGTCGCGAGCACATGAAAGGCTAGCTGGAACATATAGCTGATGTAAACGAAGTCTTGAGAAGGGATGCTCACCAGAGGCATTTGAAAATAATTATTTATGTGAATATTGTAAGTCGTTTAACTTTAGATTTAAGATAGTAACGCGAACGGAACTTCAACATCAAGACAGAACATTACTCATGGTAGACGGGAATCTTCACGGAAGATCCTTAGCTTCGACAACGCGGGCTACGAGGAAGACATCCCCTTTTTATAAACTGGAAGCGCCACGAAAAAAATATCTTACTAGATAGTCGAAAAATATTCTTTGCAAAGAAGGTAATAGACAATCTTTTTTATTAAAATAAAGGCCTATAATCAGCAAAATAAAAGATAAATTTGATAACACGCCAAATACATGATAAAGTAACATGTAAATTATACTGTCAAAAGTAACAATAAATAATGTAATTGTGTTATCAAAACATGACGGCTGATTTTTATTAATACAGACCTGCAGAGAAACCATCTTGTTCTTAAAAAGAATAAATTTTCAGCATTACTTACTCCATACTGGATGAGACGTTGGCCCACATAATATAAGTCTGGCATCAATAAACCACCAAGTTCAGAATTGCAAACAGATTTCAGATTGGGTTGCACAAAGACAGGCGCATTGTGATAATAATTAACGAAGATTTTTCAGTCGTTTCAAATCGCCTATGCCCAGCATAGAACAGACTATCTTAAAATATTGGTACCTATAAAATTGTTTCAATACAAAACATCTTAACTGCCTTAGAAATAAATTTATGTTTACAAGGGAAATTCCGTATTAAATTAATGTACATCAGTTTCATTAGTAAATTATTAAACGCATATTATGAGAGGTCATAACACAAAAAAGTCCCCAATTGCAAATTATACTCTGATAAAAAAAAAGTTCACAATAAATTCAAAACAGATACTGTGTAGGGAAACTAGGGCATCATGAGCCACAAAAATTGGAACATACAGGTATCCCTTACTTTGAAGATAACATATTTCACTTTATTTGAACAACTTATGACATGTGTATATTTTAACATTGTGTGCCTATAGTCACGAAATAATTAATAATGAAGAAGAGAATGTAAAAAATACAACTAATATTCAATTAACATTGTGCCCCATGCCTAGGTAGATGCCTGGAGTACCATTAGTCAGTGTCTGATGCACAATGGGTCCAGAATAACTACCCCTCTCTATCATTGAGGAGTCACGATCATTTTTTTAAATAAGGGAGTTTCACGAGCACAAACAGCATGTGCTCACCATAAAGCACTAGAAGAAAAATTAAGATAGGGGATAAATAAATGCCATACTGAGTGGATGGTATAGCATGTTGTTACAAGAGTTTCCTTCTCATCACTCCCCTTGATACACAGCTTTGCAACCTTTCTCAGCAATTACCTTTCCGATGTTTTAAATAACTGATGTTTTTGTTTCATCTATGTTGAAGACGCACTAAGGATCACCTTAGTCTAGTATAGTTAGCTATACAGACTCAAAAAGGAGGTATTTCAACAAATGTTTCAAAATGTTAAAAACATAAATGTTTACTTTACTCAAATACCACCTGGCCCTACGTAACCCATTGCGATGCTGCACAAATATTCCTCCCCATTTATTGCAATTTATGGCCAACCCATTCAGTGCTTTATAGAGCCAAGTAGATTCACAAATGCCATTGAATTTGAAATGACCCTCCAGCTTAACCTCAACATCAACATCTGAATTTATTTTTTATGTATAGAATATACAGTGGGAGAGAAAAGTTAAAAAGGAAAGAAGTGTAAAATAAAATATTTAACTTCGAGACCAAGTGAATATCGTAATGACAAGTAGAGCACAACAAGAATTAAAATGAGAGAATGAAAATGAAACTTGAGCAAGTTCCTAATCTTTCTTCTAGAAAATGAGTACCTGAGATGACAATGAAAAACTACAAGGAATGATTTTATGAGTTGTCATTTAGAGCTCTTTGCCCTTAACATCAGCATCTGAATATGGTCTAGAAGGTCATTTTTTATGTTTACATAAATATAAGCCATGAAACTACACAATATTTAGAAACGTCAATATATATCCAAACATATTTAGAAAGATAATTGAGAAATAATTTACCCTACCAATGAAATCTTCAGCTTTGATATTAAAAGAGTAGGATTGGATTGAAATCAAATTTTTTCACCACATAACAATCTAAACATATCAAAGATCTAAACATTCATGAATAGATTTCATTAATTAAGAAATCTCGGAACTTCAGCATTAAAAATGACAAAAGTCATTTAAACAAATTTGAACTTTGGCAATTTTCAAAATTTAAGAGATTTTAAAAGAAAAATTTTGAGTCAGTATCAAGGAAGCCTTGGTCACATATTTTTAATTAGTACCACTTCACTCAAATTTCCGCAAAAAATTCCAATTTTCAAAAATTGTACTGGACAGTATTTAAAGAACTAATTTTGAAGAATATAATTCATTAATTACAACACAAACCAGCAATGAAATTACTGCCTCTAAAGTTTGAATATTTTTGGGGCATTTTTAGCATGCTGAAATAAAATTCAAATCCAGAAAGGTCCTATCACATACAATTTTTGTACAAAACTTATTTTCTTTTCTTTATAACATAATTTTTGTATGCCCAAAGAGTAATTATATAAACTGTAATACTTTACTACGTGAAGTTTTATGTCAGTATTTGAAAACCAAATATATGTCCTTTAAATGATTTTATAGTAAACATAGAGGGCACCAAATGCTTTTTATCCGATATGGGGTGTGAGCGCCTCAAGAAGTTGGAGTGAGATAACATGAACCCTTGCTATCATTCTATGAAGATAGCCACTCTTACGAGAACCAAACCACTTTTGTTATATAAGTGAAAAATACACACTGCAATGCAGATGTGTGATATTACAGATTTTGTAAAAAATTGTGTCTTCCCTATTTTGGAATCAAACCAAAGAAAACCTTAGGCACCCCACAAAGCATGTAAAGTATGCATTGAAGATCTTCGTCATTGGGTCAATGGCAATAGACTTTTGCTATCATTGGAATATCTATAGTTTGGAGAGAACAGTCAAACCATAGTAATGACTGCTATGTATGTTTGCGAGATGCGAACAGGTACAATTCTAAAAATAGAAAGCAAATTGCGCATCCAGTTGTTTGGTCAGACATTTTACCGTGCACCTGTTGTAGCCCTGTACCCTGTATTGTAATCCCTGTGCAATATAATCTTCAACATATCAAAAGCAAAATTAAAAGAAGGTATATTTAATAGTCCTAATATAAGAAAATTGAGGTCAGTTGCAGCATTTAACAACAAGATGAAAAGGAGAAAGCAGCATGGATATCTTTCTGTGATGTTTCAAAATTTATTGGTAATAACAAGGATCCCAATTACCAAAACATTGTGGCTAACACTCTTAAAGATTACAAGGAACTTGCATGTAACACCAGTATGAAAATTCATTTCTTGTTTTTCGAGTAGATTATTTTCCTGAAAATTTAGAATTTTTGAGTGAAGATCAAGGCAAACAATTTCATAAGATTCGATGGCATTCGAAAGGAGGTACCAGGGACAGTGGAGAACCAGTATGTTTGCAGACTTTTGTTGGATGTTAAAGCGTGAAATACCTGAAGACATACATAAAAGAACAAGGAACATAAGGACTTTCTCAATTAAGAAGCAACCGGTGTTAAAATTGTTGTCAAACTATTCAATAATGAAGTAAACAAGACAAAATAAAGCAGTCTAGTGACTTATATTAACAACCATACATATTAAGTTGTGTATATTGAATATTGTTTTATCTTTAAAATAAAAAAAGCTTATGAAAACTTTAGTAATGAAATTCACATAATCATACAATGCTTGTAAAGTGATTTTGCAAGAAATCCTTACATAATAGAAGTAAACAATTTGAAAACTTGGATTCTGCACATCAACATCATATAAAATTACAATTTTTACTTCAGGCAACAAACAAAAAGTTTAAATTCACAGGCTAGTATAATTCTAACTTCAATAATTTAGCTTGTAGAAGGGAAAAAAGTTAACTTATGCAATTTTTGAAAATTAAATTTAAACTAAAATTGCACCTGAACTATTTTGTACATGCATTCTTCGCTCTATTCTAGCAAAAATATTTGGTACCATTTTTGAGAATTTTTTTTCAGATGTTAGGACTGCATGTAAAATATTAAATTATTCTTCAAATATTAAAGTAATAATTTTAAATTCAAGGGATGGGGACATCAATCACAGATTTTGATTTGTTGAACATCCTGTGTAAGGTTTGGCTGCCAGCATTGTTCACAGACAAATGGAAATAAGTTTTGGCAAAAACCAATTTATGACGATCCTATGTATTCAAGGAAACCATTTACTACATACAGGATGAAGAAAAATTCACTTTTAGTTATCATGGACACAGAAAATTAGTTTTCATGACTAAAAAACAGCATTCTGCTGCATTACAATTCTTTATCTAAACTACATTATACTATTTGAAAAAGTAGAAATGAATAACCCATAGTACTGTGGGCAAGGTTTGAATGCCATGACGATGCTTTTCCATTTTAATTTACTTGCCAAATTATGGGATAACGCCAACAAATTGAAGTAGAGTAGGTAACTCACAAAAGCACATTAGTCAAGAATGATAATTCTCACACAAATGCCCATAATCAATTTTTTTTCAATTTAAAATTTTCTCAATTTGAAAGTTTTTTAATATTCAATTTATAAAATATGTTTTTTGCAATAATCTAATTAATGGTACCTGTAAATTCTGTTTAAATGTGAATTCACTATTAGTATTACAAATCATAGATTTCTCATGAGGTCTTGAGATAATTGGTTTTTTTACCTTTTCCAAAGTAAAATAGATTTAAAAAATTATAATTTTTTATGAACCATTTGTTCATAATTCATTAATGTCTTAAAACGAAGACCCCCCAAAATTTTTCAACATCCATTTGAAATACTGAAGTAATTGAAAATTAACTTTAGGAAGAGCAATAAACTGGAATAAAGCAAAGAAACCTTTATTTGGTTTTGAAGTATCAAAAAGCAAGCAGTAGAAACATTTATGGGCAGGAGTTTCAAGAGAACTAGACAGTATACCAATACTGTCACAGGATCAATATGTTGGATTTAAACTACATATTTATCATATGAAGCTACTTTATTTCTGGCAGAGGTCATGGTTATGTATATTGTAATACATAGAAAATGTAAAAACAAATCTGAAACAGTGGAAAGTAATCAAAAAATCTTATAGTAGCAATCCCAAACGGCAGCCAGTTTCAATTAATGATATTCATCATTCTTCTGTTCATTCCAAAGCAAAACACTATATATAAAGTACATTTTCAAATATGTTTTGAAGTTAAAGCGACTTGAACATACTGCATTTTCTCTACAAGAACTTTTGCCTTTGGTACAGGCAAAATACCAATGCAGTGCATATTAAAATACCTTTATCTCTCTATATAATACTGTTGATTGCATTATTAATGTAATATATAAGGAAAACAATGGCAGCTGAAAAATGCCACAAATGAAGTGTAAGGAAACTTCCAGGGTCATTTATTTCAGGCAGTGAAATGTAAAACTAGGCATTTAACAGAGCACACAGATTTATAGTGTGATAATATTTTAGTTCACATCAATTCTAGTCACTATTTTTATTGTACTTAAATGTTTTAATGCCTTATAAAACAAATTTCTCGGATCTTAGTGTGAGTCTTATTGCTGTATTTGCCAGAACAGTCTCATCCCCCTCTCCCAGAAACAACACATTTCATTACATATGAATAAAATAACTACAATTAGCATAGTTCAATCAAATGCAAATATGGAATGTAACATTACAAAAAATATACAAAGTTATTGGCCAGTACATTCCTTGAATGCCTTATAATTGTATCATTTTACAACTGATACAGCACAACACTTGGAATATTCATAGATCAGAAGATGCTTTTTATAAAAATAGGTTATTGGCATCAAGAAATGAGATAATAAATAAATTGTGTGTCAGAAATTTTCTGTGATACAGTACACAATCATTAAAAAAATTTTAAAAAAGAATTTACAAGATTACTTAAATGTTTTACACTAATGGAGAATACATATTTTTTTAAAACTCTCCAAGAATAGCCTAGACACCAAAACTAATTGCCTGTGAAGAACAAATTTGAACTTCTTGTTAGATTAAGAATAAGAAGTCAGATGAAATATTCACAAAATGTAAATTTCAGAAGTAATGTCAACGTCCCGCTCTATATATGCCAGAGTTACCTTTAAAATGCAATTTCTAAGCTGTGATAAAACATCGATCATACTTTTTTCCATAATGTTATTTTACTCTATCAGCACTGGATCACAGAAACTTTAAATTAATATTTCTGAAAGGAGAAAATGCACTGTTTAAGACATTATCAGTCGAGGGAAAAAAAAGAAAAAAAAAATAGCTGCCACAAGCTCATTTCACAAAAGTAATACAGCAATCCATAAAATGTACAAATTAAAAATAAAAATCAAAATTTTGTTCCAAACTGTAAAAAAAATTAATAACATGTTATAACAACATTTTATCAATTTCTAACAAAAGATAACAAACATTTGGAAAAACAAATTCTTTCTGTTTTGTTTCCAGTTTGCGCCTTGCACAATATTCAGCTCCACTACATGGATTTTAGTTGAACTAGTGACTATCGATTCTCATCTTAAAAAAATAAAAGTTTAGAACAAAGGACAAAACCAGACATGAATTGCATTTTCTTTAGTACATCAGGCGAATAGCTAGGTAACTTCAGTGACCCCTATATGGAAACTAACAAACATTTCCTGTATAATATCCACTCAATGAACAATGGAAGCCAATAGTAGTAGTTACTAATAAAGTATATTACTTTCTTAAAATATTTTCAGTGCTATCAGTAGCACAAATGACTATCTATTTACAAACGTTTCTAATTTCTCATTACAATTACATTCAGACATATTAACAATATACAATTCAAACAAGTAACATTTTCATTTATAAAACTAACAATAACAAATATAAACATATTTTGATTATGATATGAGCAAAGCAAAATTTAAATACAAGCCACCAAATTAAGAGCAGCATACAAGATAACTGTTCACATATTACTTCAACACATTCAATGAATGGATAATTGAAAATTATGCACATGCCTAAATGAGTCTGTTAATTAATCAAATATTTTACCTAAAATAAAAGCGCAAAGAGTTCCATCACAAATTTTCCTTCCTCATTAGCATGTTTCATAAATACTTCTCATTTCCACAAATCACACTAATTTTGCACCCCCTGTTAGAACATACTCACCAGGCCACTCACGTATATATACAAAATCTACATGCATACAAGGGATAAACATACCCAACATTCACAAAATGGTTACATAAGTGAAGCAAACACTTTCTGCACCATGTTCACATTTTGTTCTTGGCAACTCCCTCCCGAAGCTTGACTCACCCACCTTTAAAATAAAAAATGGCACAGCCATCATCATTACACTCTAGAGTAGAACAGTAGATATGGTGTTAAGGCCGAATTCTTTGAAGGTTTTGGAGCTAACACATCCTCAAATTCTTTGCGAGTCAAAAGTCGAACTGTATCATCATCACATTCTAACCAAAGTGGTTCAGGTACAGAGGCATCAGTTGAAGATGACACTCCTTCAGCAGGAAGGCTGTTCAATGCCTTCAGTGGGTTCAAACTATCTTTGTCTTTAGAAGAATATCCATGGCCAATCAGTTCTCCACACCCATTCATCATGTGCATACCAATTAAAGAACTGTTTAATTTTACCCCACAGCAGTCAAGACTACGACAAGTGTTGCGATTTGAAAGACTGTTACCAGCACTATTACCCAAGTTTTTTGAAGCTACATCTACACCACTGCTACTTGACTTAGGTCGAAAAAACTTAAGTATTCCCCCCATTTTATCCCCCGAACCACCACTGCTCTTTCCACTACCTGAACTTAAACTGGGTATTTTCCTCTTGTCTCGACCACAATGACAATAGTCAAAATAGTTTTCAGAAGCTTTAACATAAGCAACATAATGACCAGAAGCAATTGTAGCACCTAAGTGCATTATAACACCATACAGTTGATACTGATGTGGCCTTTGCTCTTCAGGGAGGGAACAGCAATTTTCACAAAAACAGGCTAGTTTCAAGGGGGTGGGCATATAGTCATTTACCTTTGACATACACACCATGGACCTGCAAAAAGCAATCGTACAAATGTACATGATCTGAAGAAACAGATGGAAATAAAATCTACAGCTAAAGAATACTCAAAAACAAGCTATCACAAGATTATTTAACACTCATCATTTAATTCAAATTATTTAATTCCAAAACTCCAAAGAAAAATAATTCTGACCATTTATTTCATTGCATTAACAACAACTAGTCCCAGAAATTCTCACATCTTGCCTGGAATCCTTCACAATAGTCACTCACACTACTTCTTTGTGCTTCACTTCCAACAAGTAATTTTTGAACTGAATGAAACACGGGACACTTTTAAATAGGCCACATCATATACGGCTCAGGACATGATGGCCATGGCGGAAAAGAAAAACAGACAACTAAACAACCATAAGAATCACAAGGAGAGACATTATACAAACATTAGAAAGAACTGAAAACTGAAGATATGTTAGAGAAATAAAACAAACAAGGGAAACAGAAAGATCACTTGAAATACTGAACAAAGGGCTGCCCAAACTGATATGGAAGTAAAAACCAGAATTGTAACAGATATTAGAATGTCGAAAAAGAAATGGCAACAACCAGAACACTTGGAATATGAAATCTACCAATAATACCACAATACCAATGGAACAGGCTGTAAACCTAATCTCTGGTAATGGATGATGATGATGATGATGATGATATAGATGGTCTTTCACAATATTTTTGGAACATTGTGCAAAATTAGTTATTTCAACCCAATAAATTTTGAAGGCCGCAATGAAAGGGGAAAAAATTATAAATAAGCCAATGAGTACTTCCCCTCTACTATGAAATAAACGTTATACTTAATTATGTTCATACATTTTACAACTTAGTTTTTCAATCAAAACAAAGAGGTATGACTAAAAACAATCAGTCATATTTTTGGCCATTTGTCAGAACTTCAATTGTAAAATTTTAAGTCTATAATTGAATGTTAAAGGGAAAAAATAAATAATTGAACACAATGCTAAGCACACCTAATTTTATTACAGATAATAGCAAGAAAACTATTCTGCAAGAACATGGAAATGAACAAAGCAATTTTCATCAGGATAAATACAAGTCATTGAACTTTCTTTTCGGTTAAACGAGGTGATTAGCCAGAGGATCTGCAAACTTTACTTCACTTTCATCTTCTCTCTACCCATTTCCACAAACTAACGCTCAGTAAAAAGCCAGAGAATCACAATTTACCAAAAATTATGCCAGGTGCATTAAATCCTCAAGCTTTGCACGTTTGATGGATAATGGTTGATTGTATAACCTTTTCAGCTCAGCAGGGGCTGTAATTTAAATTTCTTTCTATTTATCTTTGCCCCTTTTAGGCAAGACAACAGATTTAATATAACTTACAAAGTAATTACTCTTATGTAAGATGAACATCTGCTACTCTCTCTCAATTTTCAAAATTCTGATTGGTCTTGTAGGCATAGGCCGTTTTTGATTAGTACAGTTTCAACAAAAACTCTGTCCAGGCTTTAAAATTGACTTCATTAGCACAGTTTACAACTTTCAGTCAACTCAAAGTTTGATTTGTCTCTTTCTAACCATATCATTCCAGTCATCTGGTTATTTTACAATAACAATGCTGATCTCTGTTTCCATTCATGAATGATGTGAACAAAACAGATGAATAACATTTTGGGACTGTAACCGTAGAGCCGAGGAAATATTTTGGACCCTGATCTGTTTCACTTGTCACTGCAAAGACCTTGATTATTATTACCCATTAGCTTGTCCTGTATTTACTAGCAGACTATGATATTTTTTAGCCAACCCTAATCATATTTGCTGTCTGTCTGAATAATGCAACCAAATGACACTAAAAAATTTTTTAAGCCACAGCCTTAACATGTAATATATTAGTTTCAAGACAGGGATGAGAGTGTGAAGAATATTGTATGCTCCTCTACTATGAAGTGACTTTTTTAGGCTTAGTGGAATCTTGCTTCATACTTCATTGCTCAGTTGAAGGGAAGTGCACTTCTTTTAATATAAACTACAGTTGTGAACCAAAAAGTTTAGGGGGCCAGATTTAAAAAGAGGAGACCAATATGTTACATGTTACACAAGTTAACATTATGTTACCTCATAATGAAGTTCCACTAAGTTTAAGTAAGCAAACAATGAAGTAATTTATGTTACATATATAACAATGTTACATATGAGATAACATTATGTAACCTCAAAATGAAGCAACACTAGTGACATTGCAAAATGAAACCCGTTGAAGTGAAGTTAAAACATCTTCTGAAGGTCCAGTTGCAGTAGGAGTCAATTAACTGTTTCAGTTCCCAGAAATTCTTTTTATAATGTTACAGAATGCGTTTTCAATATTAATGTTAATGTTAAGAGTAAATTTTGTAGTTGTTGGTTATTTAAATGATTTTGAATAGTATTGTTACACAAAATGATTCAATAAATTAAAAAAAAATACCATTTTATTAAGTGTTTCTGTATCATATTACATGCTTTATTTCACAGCCTAGGTCCTGAACTTGTAGCCATCTATAGCTAGCAACACTCCAAAACCAATCTCAACCAAATCATTTACAAAATTTTAGGGAAATTAAATCCTCTATTCCTGAAATTTTGGGCTGCTTTTGATTTCCAAAAATGTGAACGCTGCTAGCTTTAGTCTAAAGCCTAAAAATATTCAATCGAAATGATAAAATTGAAGAATACAAGCACCAATGGGTGAATCGTATCAATAAAATGGAAACATCAAGATTAACACAAATAGTATACAACTACAAACCCTGCAAATATCAGGATGTAGGGCACCCAAGATGATGGCAGGATGACCTCTAAGTTGAAACGAGCCTTCAGTGGCTTACCATGAAGCAGAAGAAACTGAGTGGATAAAGTCTGAAGTAGTAAAAAGAAATCTCTTACCGCTCCCTAGTTAACTATATCAACATAAAACTTACTAGTTTCTTCTCCCTAATGCCTCATAATCTGAGATTATTCTCCTTCTTCCTCTCTTAGTTTCTGAATCCTTATCATTTTTACCTCTCCACTTCCATCATTACATAATTCTCTTTCTGTATTATTTTTATTCGTTAACTGTTCTCCAACTTCTCCTGCAACCATATGTTCCCATATCTCCACTCCACCTTCACAAATCCTACATTTATTGTCTCCTTTTTCTCAGTAGAACCTACTTCTGTCCTTGTTCCCAGCTCTAAACCTCACTATCCTATTTCTATTGTCCTTGTTCCTTACTCCTTTAAGGAATGTTGATATTCTACACCCTATTTCCTTACAAAAGACATTGTACATTTTTGTACCAAACATAGTAAGTCCATGACAATTCTGAACATTTCAATACATATTAGGCATTTTAGGCTGTATATTGTTTAGATCAAGATGAAACTTGAAATGAATGATTGCCTTTTCTTATCTAAAATAAATGAAGACACATTAAAATCAAAATGTCCAATTGCGGTGAATCAGACAATTTCAATATTGAAATATACAGTATTACCCCTCCCCCCTCCATTCTCTTACATATCCTTACAGTTTTGCACTAGCATCTTGCACAAGCAATGTTGCCACTTCCTGGAGCTTACTTGTGTCGTCAATCATGTTTTAAAAGAAAATATTACACTTGTTTATACAACAGTAGAATGTTCAGTTGGTTTGATCCTGGAGGAATAATCCCGGGATTATTATTCCTCAACAACAAACCCTAGTATGGAGTACTTTTTATTCAGTTATATTCAGAACAATTATTGATGTTATTGTTTCTTTGTAATTGTGTAAATTTGATCAATATCTATTTTTATAATCACATTAATGATCATTTGAATTTTATAAAAATTATTATAGATGCAAGACCAACTTAACTGACAAATGTACACCAATTAACCCTAATGAAAACTATGTATAGCTGTCTTCGTAAAAGTGATTTTAAAAATAATATATAAATCTTGGTGTGACATCCTAATTTAATGTAATACCTAACAGAGCATTTTAAAATTCTATCTGTAAAACTAATTGCTCATTCAATAATATCATTACCAACTTGCAGACACATTCAACACACACACGTGGTGAGCAACATGAATATGAGCATTTATTTTATTTTCAATAAATGTTTATCTGCCTTGAATCATTTAAAACCTATTCCCTAGGATTCAAAATCAACCAAGCAGGCATACTGATCATTGTGTATTTCTCAAATCTTAAGTTAATGTGTGTCAGCCACATACTGAATATTTAATGCTGTACTGTAGACAATGCATTTTGCAAGCACTCACAGGTGTAAACTGAGGATGGCGTTATGAATTACAAACTCCGAGCATAAACACTGCACAACAAATACAAAAGATGCAAATGATTAAAGCTAGAGAAAATTCCCAATTCAGAATTTATAACTCGTCAACAAATGAAAAGGTCTTGTGTGTAAATAAGAAAAAAATATTAAAGGGTGTGTTTTTCTAATGAAAAGACACAAATTTCAAAATTAGCAATTAAGATTTTCCTTAAATGATGATTCACAGGTCCACCAATTTAAGTTATTATACAACCATAAATGTAAACTAAAGAAATACATTTAGAAAGACAAACTCACTAATCAGGCACATTTCTTGTTAATTATGTTTGGAGAAGAAACGGTCTTAATCATATTGTCTTCAGATAGTACTCGCTTTAGGGTTTGATATGTGATGTCAGAGATGCACTCTGTGGTTTACTAATATAATTAGGTTGACAATAATTTAAAAATCTTACATTAGTAGCCATTTTCGGAACATAATTGTGATTGTAGGAGCTGTGCACCTTTCAATTATAGAAGTCATGCTATTGGTCAATTAGAAGCACAATTCTTACAAAGAAACATCACAATTTTCACATCTCAGTTGAAGTGTTCAATATTTAATCACATCATTCATAATCACAGATTATCTAAAAGAAGTAGAATGTTAAATTTAACTTGAAAAATTTGAATTAAAAATGTTGTTAAAAAAATACGAAAAAGCACCTGCAATAACTGTACTTAATTATTTTATATTCCTCTGATCTCGTAATGAGTGGATTGAGAATTCAAATTACATTCCTTACCTTCTCTGCTTATAATATTGAAAAATAACTTAACCCATTAAATTGAAAGACTGGACATAAACTTCATCATGAAAAATAGATATGATAGAAAGAAGTGAAAGGAGATATAATCGGGACACAAGATCAGAAAATAAAGACTGTACTCTATGCAGATGACCAAGAAATTTTAATGACCTCAGAAGATCTTCAACTAGCAAAATAAAGACTGAACAAAATTATTCTACAGCATGGACTGAGAATATCTGCAACCAAACCTAAAACAATGAACATTAAAAGGCAAAGCATACACAACAATAAAACAGCAATAGGTAATGACACACTACAGATGTCACATCTTTACACAAGAAACCAACTCTCAAAATAAGAGGTGAATTGACATAAAACTATTAAATTACAACAGAATCCAATACATGTATAAAAAAAACAAAACATAAACATAAATAAAAAACTATGTGAAATTGACTACTCAATATCACTGCCAAAAACTATGCTACTCTAGGGTAGCGAGGTATGGTTTTTGAAACAGAAGCAAACAATGAATTGAAGTGGCTTACGTGCGGTACCTCAGACCGATTAAATGAAACAAGAAGAGGCAAAATAAGAAATGAAGAAATAAGAAAAAACTTCAAACCAAGAATATCATACAAGACTTGATAAAATACCAAAAGAAATAGCAAGGCTACCTAAAGAGCATGGGACCAACCTGACCACCACAATAGTCCCTGAAATACAAACCAAGAGGAACTAGAGAGACAAGTTGTCCAAGAAAGAGAAGGGAAGACCACAAACCCTTAGAGGTGACTATGGTACTGTATAATCAAGGACAAACTTTTGGGCCTCTTTTTAAATTGTTTCTAACAATTAATTAAAACAATTGGAAAATTCAATACTTATTGGTGTAAAAATTATTAATGTAGGTTAGCAAATTTACTTTATCAAAAACTTACCCAAAAGTAGAAGAAAATCGTTTCAGCTGTAACACTAAAAGCCGGGGCAAAGTTTCATAGCGAACAGAACGACAAGCTTCATTATATCGCAGACACTGTTCACACCAATATTTGTTGAGGTCACGCAAATTTTCACTAGTGACTATTGCTGCCTGGTAAACTTCACTAACCCGAGGTATTTCTCCTGCAATAATGGAAATTATATCACCATATTTTCAACATAGCATTGAAGTTATTTGTTAATCAATAAAATATCACATTTAGAATGTCACAGGCTAACAAAGTTCATGAATTACCCTTTTCAGTTTCTTGCTCAGTGATTATAGGAACACATATGTCACAAAAAGTCTCTTTTCTCTCTGTCACATGTTCACATTCTAAACAAGTAGTACGAAGGACAGCAACACCCTCAAAATCATCTGCGACAAAATTATAACCCACATTCTGTTTCTTCGAATCTTTATCAGATTCTGGGACACCTGTCTCAGTTTTTATGTTGTCTGATGATGATGAAACAGGTGGAGATTGCACTTGATTAAATTCTGAAATTCCTGGAACACACAATTATTCACTAATCAACAAACATGTCATAAATCAGGGGGAAAAATGTTCATAATCAGTTGAGAAATTAATGTGTCTAGGAATTTAATTTATTTTCTGGTGTAGTACATTATAAAACAAATATGAATAAAAGTTGCTCTACAAGTCATTCTTTAGTCCAAAAGGTCGTTGCCCTAATTCTGAGATGAAATTAGTTTGGCTACAATTGCAGCAATGTGCATCACATAAGAAGTAATGATTTAGAATCTGCCAATGAGATGCAAATTTTAAAAACAAAAATATACGATGATTTCAAAGAACCTTCTACCACTATTTACTTTGCAAACATATCCCTTGAAATATTTTTTAATTTTTGAATCCCAATCAAAAATACTAAATAAAATGAATGTTGACACACATTTATAATTTTAATAGGGAAAAAAGGAGACAATTTACTTTCATTTTGGCTATTGAATCTGCAAATTATTAAAAACTCAAAAGAAATTTATTAGGTATGACTTACATTAGAAGAAAGCAGTCAAAATTTATAGTTCCTAAAAAATTATTATTCAATTTACCTTTACAACAGTCAAGTTTTCCTTCAAATTCATTCTTAAAATATCTTACAAAAACTATACTGGATTACGTTAATAAATTTAAAGTTAATTTCTTTGATTGTAATGTATCAGGACTTTCATATTTTAATGCTATTCTTACAGGTGAGGAATGTCAATAGCACACATGAATAATTAACGAAGAGCAATACACCAAAAGAACCTTGTTGGATTAATTATTTTCTTTCATTTTTAATTTAAAAAAAAATTATATTCAGCTTTCAGGAGATGCCAATTTCAGTTATTTATACTGAGCACCCACTATCTTCCTCATGGAGACATACATCAACCTTTTAGACTAGACATGCATGCAGGTCTGTGGTCAGCAGTCTCGCAAGGCCTTCCGCAACAACACATACATAGAAAATAAGGGACAAACAACCATGGCCATGGCAGGACTTGAACCTGTGATCCTTATGACCAAGATGCTGAGTCGGCACATGCCACCTCGGCAATTATCATAAATAAATAAAAATAAATTTCTCTTAAAATAGAGATGAACACACCCAAAACATATGAACACAATAATAGTCATTTTTCATCACACTCCAATTTGCATATCATTTCTTAAATACCTTTTACTTCCAAAAGCATACACACAGATAATTACCCTCATATTTGTCACAATTATAAAAATGTAATAACGAGAGTATACATTGTGTATATCAATCTTGATAAATTAACTGGTGTGAAACAAGAAAATAATTACCCCAATCATTTTTAATAATTTAATTTTTTTATCATTTGCTCAATGAATTTTTCATCTGATATATTTTTTTTTTTATTAATGTGCCTCTTTAGGAACAATTTTATAACAACTATATTCTACCTTCTCAAGCTTACTAACACCCTTTATTTATGATCCACAGAATTACAAAAATTGAATATGAAATGAATATTTGAATTTCTTGTGAAGGCAAGAAAACTTTAGGGTTTTCAGAAGTATTAACTAAAATATTTCAAAAATAAATTAAAAATGCACATAAAATTATTTTTTGTTATTTATGTTGGTAAATACGTGCATAGCTCCTCCGCAACCAACCATCTAAACAATGCATTAAGAGCATGCCCACAGCAAGGGCTGTTAAAATGCTCAAAGAGTTCCATTTAAAATATTTTAGCGGACTCTAGGACTTGTTATTTAAATAACTATTTTCATCTCAAAAAATGTTTTACAAACATTTTCATTTATAACACAAGATGTATGTGAAATTCAGGCATTAGATATTCACAAGATGAGACGAACCAGAGAGCTGCCATTTTATACATCTTCGGCATCCTTCTGGTGTTCATTTCTGAGTATCATTCACATCAACACTGTTGTAGCTATTGTTCATTACAGCTTTAAAAAGGAATGTCAATAACTATACTTATTTTTGTTACAACAGCCACAGTAGGGTAATTCCTCAATTTATGGTAGCATGGTTCCTTTTAACCAGTGATACAGTTCATTAAAGAGGAATCAACTCTCTGAACTGAATTCTTCCAAGGTACTAGCCACATTAACTAAAGTTCATCATATTAACACAATAAATATAATTTTATTAAAAATTCTATTTTATAAACATATGCTACTTAAACTTATATTGTTGGAGGACTAATGTCCCCAAGCCTCCCCATTTTAATATTGGAGAGTTAACAAGAAGTAAAGTTCACAACATTAACACGATAATATAATTTAAAATAAATTATATTTAACAAACGCATACTACCGAAACTTTTATTACTGGGGGGCCATCGACCCCTGAAACCCCTCATTTTAATGCTAAAAAAACTAACCTGCCTATTTTTTGAACAAATATTTAATATGTTAAAGATAGCGGTATTTTAATAGAAAAAAGAAAAAAAATTTCCTATTTGTTGAAATTATAAATTTTTTGAACATTTCTAGAAAATGAATGAATTTTTGCATCTCCATTCTCCACTTTCTATGACACATGTACTTTAGAGAGGTAGTTATCAAAATTATTTTCAACTTTGTGGCATGAAGTTGCATGCTCATTTGCACTCAATGTCTCTTCAGTAGACTTTGTATGTGCACCACTTTCAAGGTCCTTGAACGTAATAGACAGATTAGCCCTCAAATGAGAAAAACCTACGTCATAACCATCATAAGTTTTCCAGTAATCTAAAATCACAATATATTTTGGCATGATGTAATCCTTAATGATGTCTAAGAGTATCTCCTTGTGGAGACATTCAACAAACTTGAAAAGTAACGTCTCAATTGTCATGTCGAGCAGCTGGCAAACCAACATTTTGACACCATTTAATTACACTCAAATTTTCCTATCAGCGCAAGTTATAAATGAATTCAGCATTCAAAACACCCAACACAGTAAACAATACAAACCAATTAAATGGACTAACATTGCAATAAAAAAACAACAGATAATTCCACAGCACAAATATTGAGAAATCGCGTTCACCATTAATGATTTTCAATTTTTCAGCAATAAAAATGTATAACTTTAAATGGCTTTGACTCATAGTCATATTGAGTAAGTCTATACTTTGACCTAAGAAAAGTAATCAACGCCAGCAAAATTTGGCCAGAAAACTGAATCAGTGAATCAAAGAACCATGCCACTATAACCTTTGGATCAATCATCATGAGAAATAATGAACCATAAAAGGAACCATGGCATTCTGAACTATGGATCAACCCAACAGTAGTTACAAACTAGGGTTAAAGGAGAGAGTTTGGTACACCCATAGAGAAGAGCGATTAGAAGGGGATCAAGAGACTTCTCATGTACTTGCCACAAAATTACAAAAACTCAAAATGGAACGAACATGGGTATTTCTTCCACTTTACAATCGTGGAAAAAAAACGTTTCCTATCTGCGCTCTGGTTTTTGACCTCCAATACACTAGGTAGTGGTTCCATAACCAACAAATGGAATACAAATAAAATGGAATGTCCACAAATGGTGATTTTTACTTTTGCTTCAAAAAAAATCTCTCTTATGTTTTTTGCCATCTAAGTTTTACAGCCCAGTTAACATTTCACAACACCTTTTTAAGTTGAGGACAAGGCTCATTTCAGTCATCACAATTGACTAACTTTCCTTGAATCTGAGGAATGCATAATTACAATTGCATTTATTCAGAATTGTTGTATTTCCTTTCGACTATCATGCTTCACAGTAGACAACTCTGAATCTTTTCAAACAGTCACTTTTATTGTTCACATTCATTAATCAGAGAAGAATACCAGAACACTGTAATGGTTACTTTCGTTATAACAGTATTCTCTTGTCTATTGCATAGCAAATTCTGTAACTATAAATATTTTTTGCACAAACTTTATTACTATAACAACTTTCCCCTTTCATGTAAAGAACATTACAATTTTAGTTCAATAAATTCATATTCAAAAAATGTTTCTGAAACATACAAAAATTCTTGTCTAGAGTCAAGACATCTGCTTCCAGCGCTGTCAATGTAATAAAACATAATAGCATCCTTAATGAAATTGAATGTTCTTATGCGTTTGCTTCTTTCTTGTAACTGGAATTTAGACATTGCAATATTTTATGACAGAGGGTTTGTATTTTTTTTTTACTTTAAGAGATTCTTGGTAATCACTGATCTTTAAATCAACCACTCTACTATTTCTTCTGTATCTCTCTAGACTTCCTTAACCTCTCTGTCCCTTTCTACCAGGATTTTCCCCTTTACCTGCAAGGTGCAAATTACTGATTTAAACAACTTCCTTCAGTTGTATCGAACTCCTCCAATCAATCTAGTATGGCTAGTTGAAGGTCTTTCCAAAGTACAGCGTGCCAGGAAAGACTTTCCGCACTGTGCAAAATCAGGGCCTCCTATTAAAAATTGCATTTATGTTGAAAACATCATCACTTGGAAACAATGGAAGAGAACAACACTCCACCATCTATTGTGATTGTGGTGAAAATGCAATTTATGGTTTCAAGCTCCAGTTCAAGCTACCATTATTTCTGTTGCAAGACACTCTCACCAGCAAGGTTCCACTGCAGAGAGACTTTCCTGGTGTGCTATAGAAGGACAACTGTAATACATTTTTTAAATAATTATCTTGTCTTTGGACCTGAATACAAAAATTGACATTAGATAACATTTTTAAAGATAATTAAATATGGGGTGGGGTGGGGAGTATCCTTCACCCACTCACCACAGTTATTGCTCTTTTTCTCCCCATTAGCTCGAAGGGATTTTCAAGGCAAATTTACAGCCTATCATTGTACAGGTAATGCAATCGTTTATGCACTAATCCGTAACAAGAGTTCAAAAAGAATAAAAACATTGAAGATTCCAATTGGCGGCCAGATATGGTACAATAAAGTGACAATGTTAGTTTCTCAGTGACCTATACCATAATAATTTCATATAATACACAAAACTCAACCATAGAATGCTGCCAGTTTGATTTCCTCCATAACAGGAATATCATCTTATCTTTAAACCAGACTTCTCTACTTCAGCTCAAGTTAAGTCTTGGAGGACTTGTAGAAACGACAGGCTCTTTCCCTTTTCATGATGCAAATGCCACCACAGGGTTATTCAAAAGGTGTCAACCAATAGCATATATTTTTTTATGCAAGCATTACAAATAAAAACACGTAAAAGCATAAATTTCTCAAACCTGTTAAAGTCTGATGAGAACCTGTGCCACCATTGACAAGCGGTACAGTCGAGTCTTGGCTAGGAAGGTCTTTGACACTGGAAGTAATACCATTGCTAAGCCCGTTACTAGTGTTTTTAATCTGTGATGAAGTATTTTTTCTCTTCTTCCATGATTTTCGGACACCCCCCCAAGATTTGCTAGGAGGAGGAAGTGTGGCAGCCCCAGATATTTTGGGTTCAATATCTAAATTCTCCGGACTATCTGCAGCTTCCATAGTCTGACGGGTCTCCATTTGGTTGGCCAACAGTCGACATGTTTCCCGTATGTTATCCAACAAACACACTAACAGTTCGTGAGCATCATGTTGCTGATTACCTTCAAATATTGGGTTCACTTCCCTGAAAGAACAAAATATACAAATTAGAGATATTGAAAAAGTAAGAATACACTATACAGTTCTCTTCTTTTCATTATCAGTGAATCCCAGAGATTTTACCTGAGAGCATGAAGGAAGACATCAGGTTGAAATGGATCACAATTTTCCTTTACTTCTGACGTATGTAAGGCTACGTAGAGTTCATGGAGCCGTTCAGTGGCAACCTGTATGCGTGACTTGCCTTGGGTGTCATTAGAGCTGGTAGAACTCCCTAATGATAATAAATCTTTGCTGCTCCAGCTCTTGCTACTACTGCCCATATTTCGCCCCAAAGAGGAAGACTTTGCCTGGCAAATTTAAGCATCATGGTCACACAAAGCCTAATAATTTAACTTTTTCATTAAGTATTAAATGCAAGTAATTAATTATTTGATAAAGTAAAATGGTTTTCATTCACAAGGAAAAATTTGCTTGGATGTTTGAACACAATTCCCCTCCACAATAAATTGATGATTATTAACTTATTTTCTGTAAAATGCAATTAAATTTAAGAAAATACAATTTTACTTTACTTCCGTCTCTAGAAATATTGTTCAATTTAAATATTAAATTGCCATGAAATATCTTACAAAAAAGAAATTACAGAAGTTAAATAGCAACTCAAGAGCATAAATTCCCGTAAACCTGATAAAACAAAATAATGTTTATTAAGTTAAAAAGATAAGCATCACATCTCAATGAAAGAATATCTGAATATAATAAACAATTTTTACATATTTTTTATTAAGTTACCCGACTTCCATTTAAATAAATCCATTACTGACAACATGTGCAATCAATCAGAACCTCTGTGAACTACCCAACCAATTCTAATCAAATATAACTTGTATCTTGAAGATAATGTAACTGCATGTCACACTCGTTTTAACTGTTTTTGACATAAATAAATAAACTGTTCAATTGTTAATATCAATAGTCAGCAACCTTTGACAACAAACTACTAAATTCAAAACTTAATACTTAATAAACCACTAATATAATTATTTTAAAGAAAGTAGAAACAGAACCATCTGCCTTTTCAATTTTCTAAGTTTAAAATTAATTTTTTAATTTAGTTAATTTTTTTTTATATAACGGATTATTGAAAATAGCATTTTATATCAATTTCATTTCTGGTCCACATTAACTTTTCCTAAAAAATAATATTTTTACAATTATAGTATGCAAGTGGAATGAGTTTACAATTGTTTCCATAATTATCGAATGTTCTAACAAGAGTAGGTGAAGACCATAGCCAAGAAAATAAAGTATGACAACTTGAAAGATATTCTCCCAATGCTTAAAGGCACTAAGGGAAAAAGAACAATATATATTCTTTAAGAATAACATTCTGCACAATCTAGTTGCACATATTGTAATATGTAATAAAAATCAGTAGCATTTTGCCCCAAATCAATGTGGAATACAATTTTTACATTCAGTTTTACATATGATAATTGAACTTAAACAACTGGGTTCATTGTAACAAAAAAATCTCACAAAATTTGCATCTAAATTTCTATGTGGATCATTAAAATGACATCACAGATCACCAACTGACAATCACCGATCTTTAAGTCTGACTAAATGAAGATAGTTCATAGGAAAACAAATCAAAACAAAGACTGCAACAGTCAAACAAAATTTTATTTAATGTATTTCAAAAATTAAAGAGCTACTGTTGGTTGTACGTAATTTAATTCATGTTCACTTTAGCATGTTTATACTGCTTCCCCTATCAGCAAAATTAAAAAAACATACCTTAACCTGCTGTTGTTTGGCAGATACATCAGCTAAGTCTACAACAAGGTGATGCAAATTGTGAAGAAATGCTGGAGCAAATCTCAAAGTGTAAATTACACTATTGAGAAAGCAGGTGTTTCCTAAATTGCATAGTGTTGCTACTGGTGAACAACCTGTACCATCGCTCACCGGACTGTCGTCCGTTGAGCTTTTATTATGCCCATCGGTAGGAATGTAACCGTTCAACATTGCACCTGGAAAAATTCATCATAATATTAAAACTCTCCTACACATAACACAAATTCGATATAAAATACCAAACCAATACAAGGTTTTAAATCACTTCACTTAAGAGGCTACAAGGACCACCAATATTTCTTATTAACGTGTCATTATTTAATGCAATGAATGAATTTGACTTTTCTTTATATTTCTTCAAAAAGGACTGACCAAAATAAGCTTAAGTATTTTAGTAATATACCTTTTACTGAAGTTGTATTCTCATGAGAAGTTCGCACTTGAGAATAACGTGAAGACAAACAGAGGCGAAATTTCTTTCTCGGCGGACCACAAGACTCATCCACTGCATTCTCTCCAACAAGAACTGTCATCTTCTCTACACCTAGACAACACAAGTTCAGGGTTTCATAACATGTCCTCACCTTCTTTCCGATGCTTTGCAACACAATACACAGTTAAATCACTTTTTCGAAATTCGTTATTAAAACCCGTGAATACAATTTAATCTAGACACAAAATACATAAATAAGTGGTCAATTATCCAACCTATTTGTGATATACGAATTCATGGAAGTCACTTGTATGTCGAATTTTCAATTACGAATATAAAATACAGTTGAATAGTTCATCACTTGTTTTACCGGCCAGTATCAATCAGACTCGACACCTCGCCCTCCATCCTCCATTTTCACTCTCTGCTGTTCACTGCAAGAGCGACCACTTGCCCTTCACACCGTTCACAAACGTTGAATGTAGCACTGCCTTCTATATTGCGAAACATCACTATTTACTCTTTGATGCGCCTGCGCAACCAACATTTGAGGTCGATAATCGAAAGTCGCTCGTCAATTTAACGATTTGGCGCGAGGAACCTGCGAGGAACGCTTAGCAATTTCTGGAGGTTATAGACAGGAGTAGAAGGTACAATTGAGTGATCTTTCAGATTCTTGAGATTCGCTTAGCTCGAATACCTTAATAAATTTATTAATAGCAGTTGTGGATACGTGTAATTTAATGGCAGACTTTCTCAAGGAACTGAAGGACCATGCTACAAGCTTTCACAAAGACATTAAACATCTTGAAAGAGCATTTAGTAGTCCTTGGACGTTTTATGGAACGGTTTCAAGGAGTGCAGAAGCCAATGTATTTTTAAAAAAAGAACTCGAGTGTATTAAAAATGTAAGTTTAAATAATGGCCATTACATGGAATACTTGGTTACATTTTTTGACATTTGAATGATTTATTTTCTTTTATCATAAAAATGTAATGATTACTTCCCAAATCATAGATTAATCAATCGTCTTAATCTCTCAAGGCATTAGAGTCCTTGTATTTTCAGTAGGTTTGTGCAGATTGCATTGAACATACTATGATGCCAATTTCCATGTGCATGTAATGTCTTCAGAAAATGAAAAAAACATTTTGTTTATTTTTCATGACTTATTTGTTGAAAAATAATTATGTTATTTCTGATTGTGAATTTTCAGTTTATTGTTTTTCCTTTTTGTTTTCTACCAAAATCAGTTATCTTGAAATCAGGGTTGGTTGTGTAAACATAATTTGCATAGAGATTCAAGATATATTTACCCAGCTGTATTCTTCGAATTTAGGTGAACTGCTTGGGTCTATCCAGCAACTTGTGTCGCTTACTAGCGATGATTAAAAATGAATTTGTTGGATCTATCAATTTATAAAATTGAATGTTACACAGTAAGATATTATGTTCATATTAACTAAAGTTATTAAAATATAAACACTTTAATAATTGGTAGTAATGTGGGCAAAAATAAACTGCTGCTGATTTACATATATATTTCACTATAAAAACAAGGTAAAACATCAATTTTATTTTTATTATTTATTGGGAACAATTTACAACTTGTATATAACCAGTAAATCCTGCAGCACTTGTTGAAATTTTAATTTTTCAACTATGGTTGCAAGCTATTTTTTCATATAGTACTTCTGAAATGCTATTTACTCACAAATAGGGGACTTATTCAGTTCCAATAAAATCATTGTGTGAATTGTTTTTCAATCCAATCAGGGTTTATTGAAGTCCATAACACAAAATCTTGTGAGTGAAAATGCAGATCATATTGTAATGAATGGTCGTGATTAACTCTTGCAAACGATTGCGTTGCATAAGCTAATATGGCTATCAGCAGCTGCTTTCATTTTACTGAAGTCTAAAATAATTTTTACATTCTTGTAAAATAGTTTATAGCTATGATTACAATGAAAAAGGAAGTAATTTGAACTTTTATATAGCTCATTTGAGTACAAGTTCAGTCATAATTTTTCTATTTCTGTCTAAAATTAACATTTTTATTTTTAGAATTGTTTCAAATTCGATTTCTAATTTTCATATGTTATTTCTTACAGACGTTGTTTACATATGTTATTTCTTACTTTTTTACACATAACATATGTAAAATTGACACTTGTACTACTTACTAGACCAGTCTGATTTTTCTTTCCCTGATTTTGTTATTTTATGTTATGATAAATTTACCTTATCAAAATGAAGTCCTATTGCCATATTTCTAATTCTTGTACTTTGCATACTAGTTTAGTTAATTTTTTACTAATGGGTTGTATTACATACATAACTATTAATTTTTTTTTGGGGGGGGGGAACTGTAACAAATGCAGTGACAAATCTTACATTTAAATATATTTTGATAGATGACAAAGTAATGAAGTATCAGAATACTCAGTGGTCAGATGCCAGTATGAGCAGAACAAATTTCTTTGCACATCATACAGACCCGAACAGTTCAGCAGGTTTAATAGCTTCCTACATGAATGAAAGTTGCATAGCAGGAAATGGGACAGGATAAATGCAGTTTTAGAAACTGCTGCAAAATTAAATATTGTGTTAATTATTCACATACATTATGTGATCAAGTTAAAAGATGATTAGTACATGACGTTACTTAATGACTACCACCTTCATTCAATTTCTCTTGATCAATTGAACATAAAATGTACCGTTCCTTCTTTCTAAAAGCCATGTAATTTTTTTTATTGTTTTTGACCATCTTAAAAAAAAATATTGCAGTATTGGTGGCTAATTGAAAGGGTTTCTGGAATAAATAATTGATGTAACCCCTCACAGTAAAATTGGTTCAGTTTTTGTCATTCTTCTTCCTTATCTTCATAGTCATTATCTTTGCCTTCTTCTCCTCCTTCTCCGTATTTCATGCATACATACCTTATTTACTGAAATATAAAAAATAACCTTTGCAGATTATAAACTTGTTTGTCAATTTTTAAATCATATTGTTAAGATTGTTCTTGAAGCATTAGGGAAATGTGTGACACAATACTAGGTCAGTCAGCATTTCAATAAAATGCTTCTACATTTGCCTCCCATTATAGTACACGTCTAGGGACCAACATTTTTGGTTCATTATATCGAATTTACTATATCCGGTAATGCGAAAATACATCTGTTTCTTCTCAGTGATTATTTTGAGGTTCACAAACAGGAAATTCTAAATTTCAATATATTCAGTTATCCTTATAAACAATGTATGTTACTGTTTACTATGTAGTTTTTTATTAGTACATTTTGCAGATCCAGTCAGGTCTATCTTTACACTCGATTCTGAAGTGTCTATATTTCAGTCTTCATACACATTGAAAAACTCTTCCTCAGTTGGGACACTTTCTTCATTTGCATCGTCTTTGTCCTTACACATTGCTTTCAAGCTTGACGGAATTGCCATAAATGAGCTGAACGAGCTTCCACAATGGTGCATTCTCTGTCCCTTTCATTCGCTTCTACAAAACTGCTACAAAAATAACTCACAAAATTCTGTGTGCAGTCTTAGTGTTATTGGAATTCACAGTCCTGAGGTTAAATATTTTTGCCCAGAAAGTTGAATTTCCTATGTTCCGATATGAAGAATTCTCTATAACCAAATCATCTGGGGTTAATATGCAATGTATATGGGACAGGACCAATGACTTTGGTTCACTATATCCAGAGTTGACTGTATATTACATTTTGTGAAAAATGTGTTTTCCCTTATCTGTATGTACTTTTTAACAAGTCCCAGCAAGCGTCGGAGGAATACTCATTGACAGAAACAATGGCAAAGGTGTCACCTGGGATCCATTCTTGGGCAATTGTTTTACCTAATATATGTTGTTGACTTACCTAGTTCCATAATTTTTTGTAAACATCATATGTATGTTGACGATTTATGTATTTAGATTAGCGGAAGGTCTGCAGTGAGACAAGGACTTAGAAATCTTGCTGAAGTGGACAAAATTAATCTGGTTTTTCTTGAATCCCACTAAATCACAGACCTTGGTAAACTGTTCAAAAAAAGTTCAGTTACAATTATGAGCAGAAAACGTCATTCTTGATAAAACTATCAACCTTTCTTTCCAAAGTTAAAAACTTAGGAAGAATTCTTAACAATAACCTTCAGTAGGATTGTCATGTAAACAAAGTTAGTCTTAATGAACTAATTATTTTTGAATTGTTTGAATGTTTTTACAGGTCAGTATAAAAGAAATCCAACAGACTCATGTCTTTCTGCCCTTTGACTTTCGTCACATTGGTTAGCAGTTTAGGACTTGCCATATGGTTTCAAAGATCTCAAAATGCATGTATTCGTTTTATTTACAGTGAAAAAAAAAGAACTACACATTTCAAACTATTTTGAGTGTATTCAAATTTTGTGGATAAGTGACCAGCAGTTGTTGCATAAACTCTCTCTTCTAGTCAAATTACTAAAAACAAAACATCTCCCACATGTAACAAATGAGTTCAAGATTCTCGTTTTGCCTCGACTCGCCAAATCATTATTACAAATACCAAAACATAATTCTAATTACTACAATTAATTTACGGTAGGCATGATGAGAGCTTGAAACAACCTCTCATTATGAGCAACAAGAACACTATTTCTCTGTAAATTCTTCTAAAACACAATTAAAAGCTCATTTATTCTCCATGCATAAATCTTGCTTATAACATTTTTGTCACACCTTATACAAAACTCTCTGCACTGATTGTAAGGTGATATTGCTTATAATTGATGAATGTTATTATAAGTATGTTTTTATATCATCATCAGCAGCACTCTCAGTTCAGGAGCAGTTCTCCTGTCCTGTTGGTGGGTAGTCCTTCATGTGGTGAAGTGTTCCTGCTGGTGCCATCATCTTGTTGGTCTGCATATATCCCTCTTGCCATTCAGTCTATAATTTAATGCTGTCTGTGGTAGGCATCGTTTGTCTGTTCTTTTCACATGTTTTCTCCATTTCCTTAGGTAATTTTTGATTTCTTTTGGCAAGTTTTCTGTTCTCAGTTCCATCCTAATGGTTTCATTTCGAATTTTGTCCCTTCTTGTTAATCCTAAAATCGCCCTTAGAAACTTGAGCTACTTCTATGCTTGTGGTTTCCTTTATGCCTATTATCCACATTTGTGAACCATACATTAGCATTGGTTTTGATGTAATATTATGGATTCTCATCATTGTTTCTTTTCTCATATGTCCAAATGTGTTGGACAATGACTGCCCCTGTGCCACAAGGCTTCATCATCATTATTATTAATTGCCAATTATTACTTGTTATTTTTTAAGTTTTGTTTTTGAAAATTAAATGTATCCATCTATTCCTTGTAAGGTAGTTGGTAGTTGTTTTTTTGTTTGTTTTTTTACATGCGTTTTGTCATTAAAGTTTATAAAAGTATTACAAATATCTTGATTGTGGATATTGGGAAATATCAAAGCTTTTTTTTATGGCAAAATACTTTTGAGACAGTGAACCTGCTTCCCTCATAGTTTCAAATGAGATTCTGTTCTGTGGGTTGTTCATAATACAACTTTGGAATCAGACTGACATATTTTTAAGGCTAAAAATTCATTTAGGGAAGTTCTCTGCCTCTTTGCTTGCAGATAGTGGCAAAGCTAAAGTAAAGTTCAACCATTGTTGTTCTTTACTGACATGCCTCTACCAACACCGTATTGTAATTAATAAAACATATTTTATTTTTAGATGCATTCATGTATTGGAGAACAAATACAAGAAATGGAAGACAGGATTAGTGACACTAATCAGTTGTTACAGCAAGTTGAATCTGCTTCAGAGGATTTAAACAGTATCACTAAATTACTTGAAGCTTGTGGGTTTACATTTTCTGAAGAAAAGGAAATTTCTGGCTGTAATGAAGAAAACCAAAGGATAGATATTGCAAAGGGGAACGATGAAAATGTTTATGAAGGAGAGCAATCAGAAGACCCTGGAGAAGAATATGTTCTAGGTTATTTGTATCCTTTGATCACATTTATATTATTTATTTCCAAATGAACAAATTTTAATTTGTGATCCATTGGAATGGGGTTGTCAATGGAACTAAAGAAATCAGGATTTTTTTAAGTCTGAGGAAATGAATGTAAGTCTTGGTCCAATTTGAACATCATGAATCATTGTTCACATCAAGTCTTTGACGTTAACATAAGTCTAAAAACAATTTGAACACCTGTGCATTGCACTTGTTTGCTTGTATTTCATTTTTCTTATGTTTGTTTTGGTTCTACAGTCTTTAAACCCTAATGTGTACCAACTCTCCACTTGGCACCATCATTAAGACTCTAGAAAGCCCACATCTCATAGTGGCTCAAAAAAACAAGGAAAGTTGACATATTCCCTCGCTCCCAAGACCCTTTATGCTCTTCAGATATTAACTTCAGAAAAACTGAAAAAGTGTATCACAAGATAGTCCTGTATTAAATTTCTGAAGTATGTATCATTATTCAGAATGATAGATTTATTAATTTTCTAATTGACAAGTGATATTAATTTTCAACTCGTGCAGTGGTCACTTTTTGTGAAAGCGAGCCTTTTCTCTAATATATGGGATGGTGAGCCAGGCAAGCTACCACTTTCCTTGTGAGATGCACTTGGTGTATATATCAGATTTAGTCAGCTACATAGTTGTGCATATTTAGATTTTGATTTCACAGAAAAATATGAAATCGAAAAAATCACAAAATGAAAAGGTGTAATAGATAAAATCATCAAAGAAGGGAACCAAAGCTTATGTGGCATAAATATCATAAAAAATAATTTGTTAATTTCTTTTTATACTGTGACTATTTTATTAGTGTATCGGGATTGTGGAAGATTCTGCTTGACTGACAGGCTCTCACTCGCTAGGGAAGTGGTCCAGGTGTGCTGGACTTCCCTGAGCCAGCTGCGAACAGGAGAGTTTCAAGGTCTCGCCCTACAAAATGCACGCTACCCGCTTTCTACTCGATAATGTCCGTTTGGGATGGCTCGCTCCAAGTTCACTCTCAAACAGAAAGTATTTGTGTATGTCCCCTGTCTAAAATGCGTCAAATGACAGCCACTGCCTGGGATATTGCCTCTTTGAGTGCTGCCAGGGTTGTGTGGTAATGTTTATACACTTACTTTTAATTTGGATGTCGCAAATAATATGAAGTAAATGAAAACAATGTGTATCTATTTCGCTTGAACTTATGATTCATAATAATATTAAGGTCGAATAACTTAGGCGGTATACAACAAAGACATTAAACTATCCCTTGTCCTTATATGCCTCCTTGTGACCCATAAGCCTAGGTGTCTTATCGAAGTCAAAAAAATGTTATTATTACTTTCCCACAATGAGAAATTTCATTAACTTTTATTTTAGGAATGTATAAATGATGTTTAAATCCTTAACCATTGTCTCAGAGCTGGTAATGAAAAATGTGAAGAGATTTTAGAATCGACTGAGAAGTATTTAGTAGATAACAACATTAATTTAGATGATATTGTTACTCCTTTATTTCAACGAAATAGTTTATATTGTGGGAAAAAAACGTAATTGTCCAACTGGCAAAGAAAAACATGATTGTCGTGACAAAAATATTTTAAGTCATATATGTTAATTATTTTTATTTTATGACGAAATGTACATCTTTAGCCATTCATCAACTTCTTTATTACTTTTCTCCATCCACCGAATGTTAGACTTCACTTTCTCAATAGTCTGCTTGAAGGCGAGATCTGTTGTCCCCAAATTTCCAGCATTTTCTTCACGGAACTTCATAAGCTGTAAAATATTAATAGTACCAATGAAAACAGTATGCCACAAACTTTCTTGTGTCATTGTAATGGTTATGTACAATTAATAAAATTGTTTCTTAACTGATAATATTAATTGTGATACATACTTTTAACTGACTTTTTAACATTTTTTTGGGGGTGTTTGCATCTCTGTTAGATTGGATTCCATTTAATTGCATGAGACACGTAACTTGAAAAATGAGATTTGTTACTTTACATTCTATCATGTTTTTTAATAGCTGTAAGTTTTGCAATATTTTTTTCACTTAATATTGTGTGTTATACTCTGAATATTTTAGTCATACTTTACAAAAAAAAGGGTGTTTTAATAAATAAAGATTTAATCAAAGTGAAGGTGATTTCATTTAATCCAGTGTATTGTGCCCTGTCCATACAAGAAGGTGTGTTGCTGGTTATGAGAAAATGTGAGTGCGAGTTTCATTTAAAGTACGTTCAAAACACTAAAATATTTGTTTCAAATCAGCAGAGTTCCCCTTATTGCATACCACCCCTGTTCCCGACCAACAACCATCAATTTCTCTGCAAAAATCACACAATCGTTTCAAGAAATATTTTTTAATATCGTTTTCTGCTACCTGCAACTTGAGACCTTGGCAATCGGCGTTAATCAATGCGGTTTCTCACGCAATAGGGGTACCCGCTCTATCATTTTCACCCCTCCCTTCGGGTGTACTATTCTTATATTGGCTCTGGGGGCAGGTTCAACGATTTCTCGTTCAGTTTGCCATACCATCCAACGTGCTTTCGCTGTGTAATGTCTCTTGATTGTGTAGGGAGTGCAAATAGGGACATCGTTTTTCGCTACAATTTCCATTTCATCCTGGCAAATGACAAATATCATTCGCGAAAAGAACCCCACATTCCTTTCTTTCAAGACTAGCTTATCAGTGTTAAGGAAAAGTCGCAGCCAGAGTTAGCAAAGCAGTGGTAAAAGATACAGGCAATTCCTGCCAATCACGAACGGTTCTTGGGATAAACTTAGATTGGAAGACTCTTTAAGGAGAAACATTGGCAGCCTTACAATAGCTATTAACATCATTAATTCTTACTATTTTGTCAAACTAAAATTACGAAATGTCTCATTGGATAGAAAATTGCCTTGATAATGAGAATGTTAAAGAGTTATTGCTGAACTATTATTTTCTAGTTCCTTAATATCATAATCACGGTTTTTGTCAGTAACCTCATCTTCACATGTATCAATGTTGGTTTCTTTTTGGTCTTCCTTCCATGCTGTGACATTTTCTGACGTTTTAGGCCCCTCTTGAAAGTTTTACGGACTAAATTTTGCGTTGTTCATAGTCTTTCATCAGACGCCATCTACGAACATTACCGTCAGTCGCCAGTTTTTCTATCCGTCCCGCACTTGTTGATGGCCTCTGTTCCTGTTCAAAACGCAGATTCGTATTCGCCGGGCGTCGAACCGAGATTCCGCGCGGCCTCGTCGAACTCGCATCGTGTAACAATGCATTCTCTCGGCATTCACTTTCACGTTACGTTTCATCTTATTCAATTCCATTCGGTTAGAGGTTCTCTTTACCAGCCCATTCAAATACATCGTTCTGAATTGCCGGACGAATTCGCGGTGGATGCCGAGAATACGAACGTGAATATAATTACGTATTACGCGCGGTAGTTTTACCGTCAGTTTGTTGTTACGTCAACATTTACGAGTTTCGTGACATGGAGAGGCAATGTAAAAACTTAAATCCTAACCGGCTAGGCTTAATCTACGAATACAAGACGACCCCACATTTTTCGACTTAGATATTTTGGAAAAAAAACTCGTCTTATATTCGGGTTTATAAGGTAACGCCAATGGCAAATGATATTACAAAAAGTGGAAAAGAATAAGTTGCGCTGCTTTGCTTACCTCAAATTTTGCTGTGTCCCCCCTGCTAATAATTTTACGCACTCCTCCCCCACAAACTGACCCCTCCTGCCTCCTGAGACATTTCCAAGAAGACAAAAAACAGACCTCCTCCGACCCCTCGGTGGTGCTCCAGAAAGCTATAAAAACCGTGTGTCTTATTCCCTCTGCACTATCTCCTGACTTTGGCCATTATAGTGAGGTAAGCAAATTGGCCCAACTTATTCTATTCCACTTTTTGTATTATCGGTTGCTATTGGTTTTAATTATTATTACCATCTCCATCCCTTTGTTATATCTTTTTCAATTTCATAATAACTTTTGGGCAGGAATAATTATAATTTCAAATGTATCTATTATTTATATTAATTCCCCCACTTAGTTTTATTTTGTATTTATTTAGTATTATTTTAATTATATTTTATTTTGTTTATATTTGTAGACTGTGCTAGCAAAGCCGTTGAAATCTGGCTCTAAATAAACATATTAAGTTAACACAAATGTGTTGTATACAAAATAGTGTTTAAAAATATCCTTTCACAATATTTGTTTATAGTTTCCTAAATGAGGTGGGGAATGAACTTTTGTAATTACTTTGTTTTTCCAGAATATTATGTTAAATTAAGTAAACTTGAGCACAATAATTTAAATTTTACCTCTTCTAATTGCAGCTGAGTGTTCATGTAAGTTGCTAAAGAAGAAACCATGCTTGATACTCGGGCAAATGCCAATCCGTAACTGAAAAACAAGAAAATGCTGTATTTATCATGCCTTTGTTAATGAAATTGCGTAAATGTGATTTCTTTCATGCAAAAGTTAAATTTCATATTCAATTAAATTAGTTGTACTTACTAGTCCAAAATATCTTCCCAATTATTTCGTAGGAAATTGAATGCCAGAGAATGACCCATGACATTTTGTGAAACTGAATTAAACACACGAGGCCCATCTTGTTTGCGAATACCGGAATCATTAGAGAGCATCCAATTAAGGTACCTGAGAATAATAAAAATTGTCAATTTGAAATTTGTTTTGCTAATATCCAATTTTTGTGATTCTGCAATTAAAAGTGAGAAAAATTGGCTGGATTTATCTTATTCCTGCCATTGTACTGAACTAAGTTTGGGCTTCTTCCTTCCTTCTTTGTCATAAATATTTTATAAGAATCTCTAACCTATTTAACAGCCATGGTTGGCTGCTGCAGCCTAAAGCATCCAAAAGTGTTTCTTTTTCTGATCCTAAGTTGGCTGACAAATATTTCTTCCAAGCAAAATCCCATTCATCATTTCCTCCATATTTAATTGCTGTGCAGTAAACCACAGCCTTTTGGTTTGGTGAAATCCTACAAAGAAACAGTCAAGGGTTAGATTTTATTTTATAGTTATTTTATACCAACAGCCTTTCAGATTCTTACGGGTTATCTGTAATTTTGCGATTATCCTGGGACATCCACAAACGAAACTTTGCTCGAGCGTGCCATACACACTGTTCTTGACCAAGATTGCAGGCCCACTCTAAAATATTTACTCTATTCAGCCTCTCTAAATGAGTATCAGAAGCCCGTTCATCAAATTCCAATTTGTTATAGAGATTTTCTAGGGTTTTAAGTACCATTGTCTACACAGAAGTAACAAAATGAGTTCATGTCACAGTGTTTAAGCAAAAGAAAAGATATGACTTCACTTAGAAAATAGAACTCCCATCAGTTTATCCAATTACCTTGAAATTTCCATAAATTGGGCTTAAAGCCAACATATCTTTCAAGTAACCAAGAACTGGTGTTGCAGCTGCCCATGGTAAGTATTCTTCATCATTGGATAACTGTTTAGTTAGGTTCAATGCAATAGCATATGAAAGATGACCTGCACGAGCTAGATTGAATGCATCATCTAAGAGTTGCATTCTAGTAACATCAGGGAGATGCAGAAACTCGTTAGTCAAAAGTCCCCAGTTGTGATTATCATAATTGACTCTGTAATAACCTGTAAACAAGACTAACTTTTCTACAAATGTATATGTTAAAAAATTGCTATATGTATGTACCAAAGCAGATTTTCTTTTAAATACATGAGATAGACTCACAAATTTCTTAAAATCTTTCTTTATTACAGTATTTTTTTCATTAATGTCAGTATACTTTCACAAAAGTAGACAGCTACACAAAAATAATTTAAAATAATACTTAACTTACATTTTTAGAAATATTTTCTGTTGCATCACCACATGCATACAGGACGTTAAACTAATAATGCGAAGATATAATAGGAATTTTTTTTTATTGCAATGAAACAGTCTTAGACCTTTTAATATTTCACACAATTTCCATATCTTCCAATTTTTCATGTTTTGACATAAAAAAAAATGAGATGTCTTAGAACACGTTGAAGCTGTCAGAATTTGTGCCTAAAATCCGTGGGATTTATTGTCTGCAGATAGTAATAGTTTCAGAGAATGCTGTAACTTCTCAAAATTACTTCTTTTTTTGTTTTTCCCATTCCTTCCACCATTGCTTGATGTTTATAAGAAATAATAAAATACCTGTTTGTTGAAGATTGAAAAGTATCCAACTATTTTCATCTGGAAGCCCTTCAATGTCAACAGAAGGTGTGTTCTCTAACCAAAAACGTGGCCTTGTGGTATTGAAATCAGGGTTGTCTTGTGTTGTAAAGGTCAATGGAACCCACCAAGTTGGCATTATATAATTTTTCATTATCTCTATTTCACCATTCAGGAGAAATATTTGCTAAAAACACATGGAAAAGATCATGATTGTTAGAAGGCTAGAATAGGAAAATGCTTTGAATAAAGAGAGAAAACAAAAACATTTAAAATGTATAATTAATAGTTCCACTCCACAAATTCAAGATGTTAACACTCATACTTCTCCATAGTGAACAATGTAATTAAATTTTTCGAGAATATCTTGATTACTTTTTTAAAAATTTTGAATTCACTAAAATTGCACGAAAACTTTTTTTAAGCACATGATATTATTAGGAAGAATAGTTTACTTTTAAGAGGAAGTAGGAAGCTTCAATGATGTAGTTGAATGATGGGTTGAATTTTATTTCTTTTTTAAATTTTCGAAATTCCAGAGGTTTTAAAGAAGATAGACCAATATCTGGGCATACTCTATTTTAATTGAGAAAAAAAATTTTACGTAAATTGGTGCGAAGAATATTGTAATTAAAAATTATAATATTTCTCGTGTTTAGACAGCTGGCCAATAAAAACAATCCTTTAATATACGAAGAAATATGCGACAAAAGACGATGTTACGTACACTGGCTCACAAAACTATTTGGACATTTATTAATTTAACCAAAAATAGCTTAAATTTTCCTCAAAAAAACTCATAATCATTTGTTAGTACACAAATTTGAAAGAATAAAATGTTCTTACATATGTAAACATTATAAATACTTTCAAAAATATGTTTTTCTTTCATTAAAAGATGCAGAGACTTCACTTCAACAAAATTATTCAGACAGCCGTTAGGGCAACGTGGTAATGGATCTTCTGAACTCCGAAAATAACGTTGAAAACTTCAATCCTTGCTGCCCTTTTAAGGTCACCAGTCAGTCAATGAACTAAATTCGTGGAACCTTAACATTTAAGTGAAATGAGACACGGAGGAAAGAACACTACTTTCGAGCAGCGTCAGTACGTTATTTACCATCGTGCAAAGGGCAAATCATGACAAAAATGTTGCAGTATGCGATTAACGCAGAAAGCACAGTGAGTAACATGATCTCAAGGTACATCAATGAAGAGAGGATTGAAATGCAACCCGGAGGAGGTCGCCCGAAGACATTTTCTGATGAAGAAGAGAATCTCATAGTGTGAATAATAAAGGAAAGGATCCTCGTAGTAGTGCACCAAAAGATACTCCACCGGTAGAAACTGACATTGGGAAGAATGTAAATCTCGAAACGGTGTTAAGGAGATACAATTTCCATAGCCGCATTGCCAGAAGAAAGCCATTTATAAGTAAAGCGAACAGACGAAAAAGGCTGAGATTTGCCAAATAACACGCAAAAAAATATGAATATTGGTAAAATAAGATAATTTTCGTTGACAAATCGAAAATGAATCTCTGTGGATCCTATGGAAGAATTCGGATGTGGAGGAGACTAAATTAACAGCTGAAAGGAGAAAGCATGTAAGCAACCATGAAGCACGGAGGAGGAAATGTAACAGTGAGAAGTTGCATGTCAATTGTGTTAGAAGAGCAAAAGATGAACATTTTCAACCATTTTGACATTCTTAAACAAAATCTAAAACATAGTGCTGAAAATATTGATATTGATAATTTTATTTTTGCCATGATAATGATCCCTAGCACAAGGCACAAGTTGTTTAACTTTGGCTGCTGTATAACTGCCTAAAGGTACTCCACCCACCTCCTCATTCAGTTCGCTTTGTTTTACACCCATTTTTTCCATCGTTTCAAATAGCCATCCTCTGGATGGTCATGTTTTGGACTGCTAATTTGCAGATGTGAATACCTGTGAAATAGTTGCTGCATTTTTGTTGTAATCTCGCATTACATTTACAACGGGATATCCAACTTGCAGAGTCCACGTGTCCATGATTCTATCGACAGTCACATGTGTAGGTAATGAGCCATCAAGATGGGCTTGAGTTGTTAGTGATTCCCATAAGTCGTCTTGTTGGGTATTGCTATATTTAAATTCCTCCAGGTAGTTAGAAAGCCCAGACCGAAATGTATCTTCACCCAGAAAATGACTCATCATTCGTATAAGAGACGCTCCTAGAAAATAATTTCAAATGTAACATAAGAGAGAAATGACATTTCCACAAATGTATGTAATTGAGGAGCGTTTTGTTTTCAAAACCTGATAAATTCAAAAGATAGTTTTTCATAAAGCGATTGCTGAGAAAGCATTTATACCAGAGTCCACAGTTTTTCTACAATCTTGTAGCAATACTTAAAACTATAGTTTTCTGGAGAAGTTGTCGAGGTTTAATAAAATCCGATTTGAAGGATGATATAATGGGTCAAAAGATGCTTAAACGATGTGTAACTTGTATTGAATTTCTTTTGCATTTTTCGGGTTTTGAAAACCATTATAAAACAAATATTAATTCTAAAAATCAATGCAATAAACATGTTATAAAGAGAAATAATTTAATAATAAAACATAATGATACAAACTATACATAAATTAACATTTAATAAACAAATGGTTTTAATTATAGTGTTGAGATACTCTACGTACTTCAAACTCTTCAAACTACCCTCAAAAATATGTACTTTTTGTTTCCTAATAGATGGCGAAATAAACAAATTAATTACACTGTATTACCTTAAATTACACTATATTACCTTTCTCATAGGAAATTGAATCGAAAATTTGGCGTATTTGGTCAGGATGGTCCACTGGAACTGAAATTGGATGAGATGATTCTAGTGCATCCAAAGCAAACACATTGTGTAGGATTTTGTTAATAAACTGGTGCTCTACTCTCCAAGTGGGTTCTACCTGAAACAATCTGACATTAATGAAAGCTCTCTCATATTTGTTCCGTTTATCATACTTTCTGTTTTAAAATTGTTTATAATAACTAACTGTGACATGAGTATATTTTGAGACTTGAAATATTTCGTGAGAAATATTTATTAAAACGCCTTGATATCAAACATATTATTAGTTTTTTCTCATACTGTATAGAATTTGCAATATTACATATTTAATAACATATAATAGTAATCCATATTAACGATACAAAAGATCCATGAGATATTTTTTATTGATTTCTGAAGTAGAGGATCTTCGAGGTGTCTCTGAGTTGTATGTGGCAATCAACTTAACTGATGATCAGATGGCCGAGAATAAAAGAAACCTTCCGAACCTTCTGATTAGGTGCCTCATCAGATTAGTTTGCGTCTCAGACAAAGTGAAATATTTGCACCCCATATAATATAATAACAATGTCCAGAAATATCTTTGCTTTCGTCTATGTCCCAGTGCTGCCGCTAAGTGAGCATATCTATGAAAGTAGAAATTCGGATTTCTTTCCATCCAGGCTCCTTTTCTCTCATTCTAACATTCATTCATGACACATGAAGATGAACATAGAACATAGAGACACATTGAACATGAAGATATACTATGTGATCAAAAGAATCTGAACCGTCCAAAATGGTGTTATGATGTGGTAGTGTTTTTCCATGGAGGGGCTTGCACCCCTTGTTGTTTTGTGTGGCACTATCTCGGCTCAAGCTTACGTTGATGTTTTAAACGCCTTCTTGCTTCCCTCTGTTGAAGAGCAATTCGGGGACGGCGATTGCATCTTTCAACACGATTAAACACTTCTTCATACTGCACGGCCTGTGGCGGAGTGGTTACACGACAATAACATCCCTGTAATGGACTGGCCAGCACAGAGTCCTGACTTGAATCCTATCGAACACCTTTGGGATGTTTTAGAATGCCGACTTCGTGCCAGGCCTCACCGAGCTACATCGATACCTCTGCTCAGTGCAGCATTCCGTGAAGAATGAGCTGCCACTCCCCTACAGACCATTCAGCACCTGATTGAAAGTATGCCTGCGAGAGTGGAAGCTGTCATCAAGGCTAAGGGTAGGCTAACACTATTGAATTCCAGCATTACCGATGGAGGACGCCACGAATTTGTAAATAATTTTCAGCCACGTGTACGGATACGTTTGATCACATGTGTATGTTTATGAAAATATTTTGTAGAGATAATATAATCAGATAATAAATAATTGATTTGGAGAAATAATGACCACACATACTTATTATTGTTCAAAATATTAACATAAATACAATAATGAAACTAAAATTAATTCGACAATTATTGAAACAACAACAAATTTTGCATATTTAATTGTGTAGTTAAAGGTATTTAAACGCACAAGTAATAAGAAAAAAATCCTTTAAAACACATAAAAATTAGTATTTCATTTTACATCAAACTCACGTAAAACTAAAAATGGCAATCAGATTTTCAGATTTCCCCCTAAAATTACCTCCATATGTCTATTAAAGCAAATAAAAATAAGTTCGCGAGCCCATGGAAGAATTCCGTACATTTCTTCGAATATATCAGACCCATTCTGATTTTCCCGTAGTGTTCATGATTTAAATTTATTTTTTATTCCATTTTCCTCAATTGACAAGTAGGCAAAGTGTACAAAGTTTGCTAATGAAAAACACTGGTTAATTCTAATAACGGGAACTGTCTTATTTCACTTACGTATGCAGTGGCTTTATATCCCATGTATGTTGCAAACCCTTCCTTAAGCCACAAATCATTCCACCATTTGGGTGTTACCAAGTTTCCAAACCACTGATGAGATATCTCATGACCTATTACGTAGGCGACTTGTTCTTTGTTTGCTTCTGTAGATGAATTTGCATCAAACAGCATCGCTGATTCTCTGAAACATTTCATATATTATTTTATAGTCAAGCAAGGGTGAATTAATCTTAAAATATTCATTACTCTGAAGTATAACTATAAAAATTTGTTAATAATATCAATTTCATTTTCTATCTAAATAAACATTCCACTACGCGGTCCCGGGTTCGATTCCCGGTCGAGCCAAGACTATAGTGTGCGTTTTCTTTGCAATGTCCCAGTATATGTTGCTGTATGACGGTGAGAAAGTTAACTTCTCAGGTTGAGAAGTCCGGAATACGGCCTTGGGAATGTCTACGTACTAACCACACGTAACCCCTTTAACCCATGGCCGCGAGACAGGGACGTCGCCGGTAGGCCTGAGCGCGTTCACGGGCTGTCGCGACAAGTACAGCTAAAAAATGCATACATCTTGGATATTAGAACAATATCGGGTAGTATGCTTTCAATGTCACAGAACACGGGAGTCCGAGGCGAGTCTACAGTCTGTCGCTTTCAGTATGTCAAGGGGTGACAAGCGATCGGAAGGCAGTCGTAATGCTAAGAATAATAATAGTGACGAGCGTGTGCACGAGTTTATTCTGCCTACGACGAACTTCTACTTTGGTAAAACCCTTCTGTAATGCGGTGACTGCGTTACGGATTGGAAAATCTCCTGGCGGTAATAATTGCGCTACCAATTTGGTTATGTCTAAAGGTGGATTGTTATCTGGCTTCCGGTATAATTAGGATTGTAAAAGTTGTACTTGATTCAATTAACTATTGCTATTTGTTTACTTCTGTGTATGTTTTGGACATAACAAAAAATAAGAAGACGAAGATGAAAATGTGGAGAAGAATGTGAAGATGGAGAAGAAGATGGAGGAGAAGAAGGCGAAGAAGAAGAAGGCGAAGAAGAAGAAGAAGGCGAAGAAGAAGAAGAAGAAGAAGAAGAAGGCGAAGAAGAAGGCGAAGAAGAAGAAGGCGAAGAAGAAGAAGGCGAAGAAGAAGGCGAAGAAGAAGGCGAAGAAGAAGGCGAAGAAGAAGAAGACGAAAAAGAAGGCGAAGCAGAAGAAGACGAAAAAGAAGACGAAAAAGAAGGCGAAGCAGAAGAAGACGAAAAAGAAGGCGAAGAAGAAGAAGACGAAAAAGAAGAAGAAGAAGAAGAAGACGAAAAAGAAGAAGAAGAAGAAGAAG